CTGTATGACATCCCTGGCAAAGAAATGGTAAGAAATGGAGATTTAATAAAACTATCAAAAATGTGAAATAAAGATGAAAAACAATCCAGTATGTTATTTATTTATTTATTTATTTATGTGGTAATGAAGCCGGATCCATGTGCTGCTATAGAAATGTGGAGGTCAAAGGAGGTGATTGTGCCCCACTGCTCTGCCCTTGGGAGGCCCCACTTGGAGTCCTGCATCCAGGTCTGGGGCCCCCAGCACAAGAAAGATGTGGGGCTGTTAGAGAGGGTCCAGAGGAGGGCCACAAGATTAATCAGAGGGCTGGAGCACCTGTCCTATGGAGAAAGGCTGAGAGAGCTGGGGATGTTCAGCCTGGAGAAGAGAAGGCGCCAGGGAGATCCCATTGCAGCTTTTCAATACTTAAAGGGTGCTTATAAAAAAGATGGAGAGCAGCTTTTTACTTGGTCAGATAATGCTAGGACAAGGAGGAATGGTTTCAAATTAAAAGAGGGGAGATTTAGATCAGATGTTAGAGGTAAATTTGTCACTCAGAGGATATTGAGGCACAGGCACAGGTTGCCCAGAGAAGCTGTGGATGCCCCACCACCTGAAGTGTTCAAGGCCAGGTTAGATGAGGCCCTGAGCAACCTGATCTGGTGGGTGGCATCCATACCAATGTCAGGGGGGCTGTAGCTAGGTGATCTTTAAGGTCCCTTCCAACCCAAGCTGTTCTATGATTATGAATTGTGATTGTGAACAATTGCAGCTTTTAGGCAGCACATTACAAGATTAAGAAGGAATGGAAGAGACAAATAAGTTCATTCTAATGCAAATTTAGGAGTCAATACACAAAGCAAAGATATCAAGAACTGATGCTACATTCCAGAGCTGGAACAAACCTCAAGAGATTATGCAAACAACTCCTTTCCCTAAGACAGGCTTTAATGAAAGCCTGGAAAAGGATCAGAAGAAATAAATTACCATCCAGGATCTTTGATTAAGTATGAAGATGATGAGCCTGACCTGAGAAAAGTATTTCCACAGCTCTCTTATGGAAATGCCCACTGACCACCCTAGACTGCCACCAGAACATAAACAGTTTTGATTAATAAATCCAGACATAAATTTAACACTTCCAGCTGAGTCACAACACTTATAACATGGCTTTTTACATGTGATGAAGACTTCAACAACCATTCTGCGTCTGAATGACAGAGATAAAAGGCTGGATAAAAGATAACTTAAATTCCTAAGTCTTCACTTGTGTCTCAGCCTAACTTTTAAGAAATGTGGCCAACATTTTCTGCTAATTATTTTTTTCTAATGACGTTTAAGCAAAGCCCTATTTCAGTTTAAAGATCAGAGTTTGAAAAAAAAAAAAAGCCACAACCAAACAACAACAAAAAAAGGCACATGGTGGGACTCTGGATATATGAAGTTTAAATCCTAACTGTACTATAGATTCTCAGTGGGATTTGGCAAGCCACTTAATCGCACCTAGACTTCCCATCTGTAAAAGTTCCAAATTGTACAGTAGGGACTTCAGTTATCTGGAGCATTGTGTATATGCGCAGGGCCTTTAAACTATGATTGATCTTATCCTAGGGGCTTTTAGGCTCAACTGCGGCATAAGTCATGGTTTTTATCTTCTTTCTAATTCCTTAAAAAAATAGAAGAGAAAAAAAAAAAAGAAGAAAAACAGAAGATGGTTTCCTGTTCTACCAAAAGGAAGAGAGGGTGGGCACAAGGGTAACATACAAAACATGCCCAGGTTCACCACTCTTCCTGTTTGTCTGTGCAAAATAACATGACAGATGACTCTTAGCAAGTTTCAGCTTTGCTAATTATTTGACTGGCAACCACTTTCTTGCATGGTCTGTGGAAGAAGAGTGTCTCCCTCCTGAGTACTGCCTGAGTGCTGTTGCCTAAGTGCTAAAGGCAGGAAGTGCAACTGCTAGTCCATGAAAGAGCGAAAGTGACTATCTGCAAAGAGATTTTTACATTTCACAGATTTACAAAGCATACTTATGCTTCTAAATCCAAATCATATATCTAACATATATGTAAGATTTCAGTGAGAATCTAGTGGCCTTTAAGCCTTTTATATATCCATGCAGAACTACTGTCAAATCACAAAAAGCAAAACAATATAAATATATATTACAGGAATCAGTTTTATGTCTTCTTTCTAACTTTTTTTTCTTCCTTCTGCTTTAAATCATAGCAATCTTGATATCTTGCAGTCATAGACATAGTCAATAAATATATTTTATGAAGAGCTCTTTAGGCAATAGATTTTTTTTCAGGTGAAGTTGAGTTTTTCACACCTTTGAGATATCCTAAATCTTTAAGGTCTCAGGGCTCTTGGTCTCCTGCTTGCCAGAAATCAGTGAAACTCATTGCCTTACTCACTAAAAAACAAGAAAATGACATGGAGAATACTGGAGATAGTAATACAGAACCTGTTGCTTAAATGTATAAATCCACTATGATACTATAATGCTGAAAATAGCTCCAGCCAAGATGTCTGTCTGTTTGCAGCCCTACATGCACATCAGCTTCTATTCTCCAAAGCTCAACAGCAACAGCTGCATGATCTGGCAGAACTAAGGGTTAATATCTCTGATCACTTCAGAAATCTCCATTCAGCACTATGGTGTGTGCTATGTGTGCTGTATTTTAAAGCACATTTCTCAGTAATCATTTTCTACTATTTTCTGTTCTAGTTCAAGCAGAAGTTGCAAGTTAGACGAAGACTGTGAGAAGCCATGCCTTGTGCAGGAGGTGAGATAAAACAATCAGAAGGGTGCATTAGGTACATTCACAGCTTGATATTAATAGGTTTGGTTGCAGTAATATGGGTCAAATTTGGCTATCTTACAATGCTCAACACCTTATATTGTCTGTGAACCTACTGCCATAATGTGTAGGGCTGTATGAAGGATGATGATGGTCTTTTCCCAAAATGTGTGGCAGCATGTAAGGCAGCATGCAAAATGATAGGTATTCTTGAAACCGTGAAATGGAAATGAATTTCAGAAATTCAGAAATTCAGAAATTCAGAAATTGCAGTCACTTTCAAGCCAGTTCCCAGCAACTGGGATGTTTAGCACATACAATGCTATATGTGAGTAAGGCCCAGCATTCTGCCTTTTCTTCAGAACCGAGAGGGAAATATTTTTGCAGCTTCTCTCCCTCTTCTTTCTCCAATGACATATCTCCTTCGTTGTTTTCACACAAATGTGGGCTATGCAAGATCACTGAAAACCAAAAGAAAAAAAAAAAAAAAAAAAAAAAAGGGAAAGGCCTATGCAAAGGGAAAATCTGGTAAGGTAAACAGAACAGTCTCTTTCCTCTTTTATTTCACCATATTTAGCTCTTACCATTATGTTGTTACTTTCACCATTTTTTCTGTCTCAAAAGTTTGCAAATAAATGCTTCATACCATCTCAACCTACTAAAGAATACTTTAGGAAAGGCTTAAAGTGAAAACCTTTCAATATCAAAGTTTGTGATATAACTAATAAATACTAAGGTGGTGTTCCTAATGCTATTCAGAGAGCTTTTGCAAACTAGAAGGCCATCTAGTGGCTGAAGTTAAAAATCACATTTTTATAATTCCAACAGTCATACTGCTCATCAAAGAATGCCATAGTCTCTCTTTTTCATAAATATTAAAAAGAGGTGTTTGAAGTATCAAAATATCCCATAGTTTGAAAATAAATATAGATTTTTTGGAAGTAAGAACTCTGTTCATAATGGTTCAGACCCACTGAGCTCAGAACTTTCTCTTCCATGTCCTTGGCACTTGAGCCTTAGATGTAACACAAATCTCTTTCCTGCTGCTGGGCAGTTATAGGAATGTGTGTGTTTGGTTGCCTGAGCATCAGCAAGAAACACAGGTTGGGTGTTTTGGGGTGTGATCTAGAAGATGTGCTTGGAGTAGTTTCACATACCACCTTTCTAGAATGAGAAAAAGGGAAAGACACCTGTCAAATTCTTAAACCTTAATTGTGCAATTAGTCTAGCAAGGTTAACAGCAGAAGTGAGAGAATACTCCAATTTCCATCCCGGCCTAGGCCAGAGCCTGCTGATCATGATGAGTTCATTTGACCAAGATTGTATATTGCACTGGTGTTACCACAGATAGCCTGTACTTCCCAGGATAATGCAGACTGAGGACAGATTTTCATCTGGCAGTCAGTTACTGTCAGGCCATTATGACCATGCTGTACTAGATGGATACCAGGGTCACTTGGGCCACAGTGCAGCTCCCAGATTTTGAAATTCTAGCCTCAATATCAGAAAACTAGCACTGATGGAAGGATATGTGAACATACAAGTTTTATTAAATACTACCATTATGTTCCTGTGACAAGGATATTTCCCTGAAAGCTGGGGGGAGACCAAAAAAAAAAAAAAAGTTTTGAATTTCTGAAAAAAATGCAAGAAAAACCTAATCAACATTTTTGGTTAAAAAGCATGATGCTGGGTGTTAGGATTATGATTTCCTTGAAACTGTAACACTAATGCAGTGCAGTACAGAATCAGGCTATAATGTTCTATGAAAAAATTGTATAGAGTCAGAAAAGGTTGCATTAAAGTTTACCATAATGCAAGTAGATGTATAAAATTGGTTATACCACCATTTCAGTAGACAACTCTGCTCATTTTGTAAGAGCTGCCTTGGGCAATTTCGTGTATCTAGGCTGAATAGGTCCCTTAGATTTATAGAGACCTACATCAATCACTCTAAGAAGTTACTACTGTAGGCCATTTACTATTGACTCAGTTACTAAAAAGGACTTTCCAAGCTCAGTCTTGAACCTAAAAACCCACTGTGCTTCCTGAGTTAACAGAACCTCATTCAAATTATTCAAAACTATAAGGAGTGTTCCTCCCAAGTTTTTAAATTCTTTTGGACCCAGGAGAGACCTTTAGTACTTTCTCTACCTTTCCTAAGTAACAAGAACTCAAGATGCAGTATCAAAATTATGATAATAAGAGAAACATACTGTGCAGTGCTTGTGTAGCGAGGTTTTGAAGTTCGCACACGGTTAAACATGATTAAGTCTACACTGGCATTGTCAATGTCTTCAAAATTTACTGCACCAACACAGCCACTGTTTGGATAGAAAGGAAATCAAAGTCATGTACATTATTCATAAAACAGATGGTGGAGATAGCTGAACCATATACTGCATACTCCAAATTTCTAGTTATTTATTAAAATGGTGCACAAGAAAAAAACGTGGAGATGAATTGCCCCATGTGTTTGGCATATCCCAAGACGAAAGCAATCATTTGCTGAATTTGCAGCACATAACAAATGACAGCACATAGTGCATATGTGTAGAGAAGACGATTGTGAAGAGCAGAAACAACATAGAAATTTGTCATCCCCTGTGCTTTTGGCTATGCCAATGATCACACTGGGATATTCTTTCAAAGAAGACATAATGGATCCTACTTTACACTTTACAGGTAAAAAGCTGGAGTCACCCACAAGCAGAGGAGACTCAGCACACCCTCCCCTTGGCACCAGAAAACATCTTAAGAATAGAACCCATAGTCTATATCTTGCTTCTTTCATCATCTACAATTGTTGCTTGGGCGAAATCAAAAATATAGGAAGTAGAAAGAACCAGAGGACATTGTACTCACGTATACAAAGGGATATGACAGATTCGAGAGCTCCGGCTTACACTGTTAAAAAACAAAATACATCAATCACCTTTTTTTTTACAGCAGGCAGAATATTCTGACAGAATATTTATGAGGTCCCAAAAGAGATGTGGTGATAAGTCAAAATTTTGCTCTTGGAATGATGCAATGCTCATTTGAATTGTGGTAAAAGACTGTGGTAAATGATTATGTTGGCATTTATGCTAAACGATCCAGTTCAGCATGCAGAATTTTGCCTTTTAACCCTCATCCTCAGATGCTGGGACTTCAGGTAATTTCCTACATCTGTATATGCAAGTTTTCTTTAAACATGAATTGCTTTTCTACTTGTAACGCTTTAACCAGTTCTTGAGAATATGGGAAAACTTAACATCACATCTGAATTCCTCTCTTGCTCTGTCTCTGCAAGCTGCTCTCTCTGGCCACATCTATATTCTTTTGAAAGAACAACTTCCAAGAAGCCAGTGATAGTATGTTCTTATCTCTCTCCCACTCTGGAGAGGTGCCTGCTTGACTTTGAATGCCTGAGTGCCCAGCAGTGCACTTGTCCATTGAGTTTGGCCAAGCAAACCTGCTGGCCATGGCCTTGAAATCAGGCAAGTTCTAGCTTTCTTACTTTGCTTTGACCATGCTTTTCATCCCCATCTCTGCTTGGCTCACTACCTGAGTAAGCCTTTCTGAATTTCTTGTCAGTCTTTTATTGGCCTCATTTAAAACTCTAAGGTTGTTTGGGATTCTACGCAGCAGATAAAACTTCAAGTTTGTAAATGTGTATGATTACTGTGGGATTTTCATAAATGTCAAGTCTCGATGAAAACATCAGATATATGCAATCATGGCACTCATTTACATTACAGAATTCTTCTGTTCTGCTTTTTACTTCTCAAGTTATAGAATGCTGCTGAATGTAGTCTTAAGAGTTAATTAACTGTACACAGACTTCCTAAACAAAGTGTTCAGAGGACACTGATATTCACACACACACAAACAAAAAGAAACTTACAAACAAACTGGTTTCTGTGGAGAGGTAAAAGATCTTGTCTGAAATCTGTCCCAAAGATTTCCAATAACCTAAAATCATAAATAGATGTTTCTTGTAAGGCATCATTACCTAATTAATTTGGCTTAATAGATTCTTATTCAGCAATACACCAGTGAAATAAACTGTTAGGGAAAGGATGACCTGTGCAGAACCAATTGCAGGACTGAATTATAATTTAGTAAAATAATCATTATTACAGATAGCAATTACAAATAATCTAACTTAAGACTTCTTATGCTACAGCATCATTCCTATCAAACAATTTTTCATCAACACCTTTGTCCTCTCTTTGGGTAATATGTATGAATATCTTCTTCTGTGACAATTTACAGAGGGAAAAAGGGAAAACATATGAAACAATCTGAGGCAATTACTCAAGAATGATGTTGACCTCTCACTTGGGACTATTTTTATTTGAAATCATTACTGTAGGTTTGTTTGTATGACCTATACAATATATAGGCTACATTTCATTAGCAAAACCAAAAAAGAGTTGGTAAGAAATTGTTCACTGACTTGGCTTATTTCAGGCTCAGGATTGTATCTCCTTTTTGTGAAACACTGGGAAACAGGATCAGCCATCACTTCCACTGTTGATTCTGGAGGCTCGATTTTGGATGGTAACATCTTATCCCAAGGAACGTCTTCATATGCTCTGGATAACAATAAAAAAGGAGGTAAAAATTCTCCAATATAATCATTACTGAATGAAATCTGTAGCTAGATAATACAGAATTCTGTGACAAAGAAGGATGTGGAAAAAAATATATATATATATTTCTATTTTAAAGGGACATAAAAAGACTGGAATTATATGTTGCCTGTCAGGGAACATGTAGTTATGGCAGAGTTTCACAGGTTTCTCTTCTTTAAAACTCTCATCTACTAATTGAAAGAAATAGTTTATTTTCCAATACACTTGTGGTGATGATAGGATTTGTCTAAGCTTGAAAAATCAGTTAAGCAGTATAAACAGAGATTAGACACCCTGCCTGTGGCAGTTGTTCAAGACAGATGTACAGAATATCCTTTAGGAAGCTCCAGTTTCTCTTCACTGCCTATAGAGGAAGTGGAGATGAATGGCACAGTCTGGATACAAACTTTTAGATAACTGCAGGTAATGAGATGAGTCCTATGCTAAGTAATTGCTGTTTCAAGACAAGAAGTCCTTAGTGATAGAAAAATTGTAGTCTCATATGCTCTGCTACCTAAAGGTGCATCAAAGCAAAAAGAACATGAAAAAAATGAAGCAAGGCACAAACAAAAAAAAAGAAGCCATGTCTCACTTTTGTGTACTTGACCTGTAGAAATAGTCTCTTGCTTTTTCTTCTCTCCAGCTCACAGAAGGATCGTTTAATTCCTAAGAGAAATCAAAGAAATGGCAGAAAGCAATGGTATATGATATTATGATTTCTTGTTTAAAGAGTGAATTGAGTGTATCTGTATTTTCCTAGTTTAATATTTTCTTTCATGTAAGAGAGTGAAACATGCCATTTCATACTCTTCACCAGCCAGCACCGGAGATTTATTTGGAGAAAGGCTCTTCTTCTGAAAAGTTTTACTTAGGAAGGAAAATTCAATAAAGTGGATGCAAACTTAAAAACTAGTAGAATGACCTTGCCTCTCTACCCCTAAGGAATGTAGCTTTCCATTTGTTGTGTTATTTATAAAATGGCATAGCAAATGTACTTTGTGGTCCCTCATACATGCTTGATATATTCACATGACGTTCATAGCTATTAGAGGGAGTCCAACTTAGAGACCTATTTAAGCGTGTGCAACACTTTAAGGGCTATGAATACTCTCACCAGTGTAGAAGGATGAAAGATACCATTACATTTTCAGTACAGGAAAGACTTAATTAGACTTGTGCTATGGACAGATTGATGTCTTTTTATTTATTTTTTTGAGTCTTGCACCAAATAAGGTAGAATCATAGAATCACAGAATCATCAAATGGTTTTCATTGGAAGGGACCTCAAAGATCACTCAGTTCCAACCCCCCTGCTGTGGGCAGGGACGCCTCCCACTAAACCAGGTTGCTCAAAACCCCATCCAACCTGTCCTTGAACACTTCCAAGTATGGGGCATCCACAACTTTTGTGGGCAACTGGTTCTGTGCCTCACCACCTTCATGGAGAGGAGTTTCTTCCTTATATCTCCCATCTTTTAGTTAAAAGTCATTCCTTCTTGTCCTGTCACTACAGTCCCTGACAAAGAGTCCCTCCCCAGCTTTTCTGTAGGCCCCATTTAGGTGCTGAAAGGCTGCTCTCAGTTCTCCCCAGAGCCTTCTCTTGTTAAGACTAAACAAACCCAGCTCCCCCAGGAGAGGTGCTCCAGCATTCTGATTATCCTTGTGGCCATTCTCAGGTCTCACTCTAATAGGTTGATGTCCTTCCTATGCTGGGGGTCCTGGAGCTGAATGCAGTGCTCCAGGTGGGGTCTCAGGAGAGCAGAGTAGAGAGGAAGAATCACCTCCCTCAAGCTGCTGGCCATGCTGCTTCTGATAAAGACCAGGATACAGTTGTCTTTCTGGGCAGTGAGTGCACATTGCCAGCTCATGTTGAGCTTCTCATCCACCAACACCCCCAGGTCCTTCTCCTCAGGGCTGCAGTCATAGATAGTGTTTATGTATTAAATATATGGGTATTTATAGCAAATATGAGTTGGCCTAATTTTTAAAGTAATAATATAATTTCAGTTGTAGTTTTGGTATCTTTTGTATGTTCTAGTATTTTTGCTCTTACTCTGTCTTTAGTTACACACATATGACATGAGTAATATCAGTCCCACATTACAGTCTAAATGAATATTTACATACAAAAATGAATATTATTGGAACAATGGCTCCCATTAAAATTTGATCAAGCATGCACTCATTTGCCCTAATTAGATGAAGAATTGAATAAGTCCAGTTTCACTACACTACCATAATTACTGCTAAAAGTACGTCACATGGAAAGCAGAGTTAAAAAAAAAAATGATTTTACTGTTTTCCTTTATTACAACAAGAGCACCAGGTACTTGCCTTGAGATTGGGATCCATACAAAATGCAGAAATACGGTTTTGGCCAGGCAAAGCAGGAGCAACTTTCACTGGAGTTGTCCAACCTGAAAGAAAGGGCTTCCTATTGTGTTAATCCCTCTGCAGCAACCATTACTTTTTTAAACTGAATGAAAATAACTCAAACAGTTTCCCATAAAAAAAAAAAAAGATGCACCAATGTTCAGCTACCCATTAGTACTCTGAAAGGAATTACAAATGTCCACAAAAATGGTTTTTCATGTTTGCATATTATACATTCTTAATACATGTAAGACATAAAACTATTAGAGAGTGTTCAAAGGAGGGCTACAAAGATGGTGTATGGTCTAGAGGGTAAGATGTTTGAAGAGTGGCTGAGGTCCCTTGGTTTGTTCAGACCAGAGCAGAGCTGGCTGAGGGGAGGCCTCATGGTGGCCTGCAGCTCCCTTATGAGCGGAGGGGCAGGCGCTGAGCTCTGTGCTCTGGGGACAGCGACGGGATCCGAGGGAATGGCATGGAGCTGGGATAGGGGAGGGTCAGGCCAGGCATCAGGGAAAGGTTCTGCACCCAGAGGGTGTTTGGGCACTGGGACAGGCTCCCCAGCACAGTGGTCATGGCACCAGGCCTGCCAGAGTTCAGTACGTGTTTGGACAGTGTTCTCAGATGTTTGGTTTAATTTTGGTGTGTTCCTGTGTGGAGCCAGGAGTTGGACTCAATGACCCTTGTGGATTCGTTCCAATTCAGGATATTACGTGATTCTATGATTGTACATTAAGTTAATCACATGGAAGCTGGAAGTAAAAGATAGATAATACCACACCATACTTTGCTATGGTTTGGCCAACTTCACATATTGTCATGTACAGAATTAAAAGTACAGAATTAAATTTGTGGGACGGTTAGACCTCTTTTCAAACCCTGGTGGTTCTATGGTTCTATGAAATGTATAGAGAAAAATATCCAAACTCACAACCGTTGTAATAAAAGCTTGCTAATGCAACCCAAACTAGTAATTACATATTGCATTTCTACAATTACATAGTTTTGCCAACCTTGTTAGCAATAAACGAGCTATTCCATGAGCAGTAGGTGAATGATTTCCTGAAGATACTTCTCTCCCTCCATCATCCTTCCAATTTCATATTCCAATAACCTGAGCTCTCCCTGACTAGGTCCATTAAATCAGGCTTACTCATCAAGAGGCCATAGTCTACAGTTAGTGTTGATTCACATATGCACTGACTAGTAAGCCAGCATACACTTGCTGGAAACCAAAAGAGTTACAGTCAAACAGAAAGATGGTATAATGCCCTAGTTTCAGCTCCCTTAAGAGGAACACTTATTTATGCCTTCCTTTTCAACCTGCTTTTCACTTCCAGACCCCCCTAAAAAATTCTGATAAATATGAAGCTCTATGTAGCAAGTGTAAGCTAAACGATAATAGAGGTACTTCTCCTATAAAGGTATACTTTGAAGAAGATTGTCCAAAGTCTAAAAGTTGGAAAGCACTGTACAGAATGAAAAATTAGCTCTTGAAGAACTAGCTACTAAAAGTATAAAAGAAAATCACAGTCACAGGCAAAAATCACTAGATTTAGTGTCAAAATGCTGTATGTAGATAGCGAAATAATACAACCTGCTTTTTGAAAGAGCTTTTTGCACAGTGTACTATAAATTTAAGTTGCTGTTTTTGAGAAGCTTGAAAGAATTCATGGATATTTGTACTGTGAAGAGAGCTTTCAAACAGAATTCCTCTCCAATTAAAACAATTCAATTGGAAAAAGTCTCTTAAATAGGCAAAGTGCTTGCAGTAAAGACGGCATCTGCATCTTCACTGCATCAGCTTGGTGTAAACTTTAAATGTTATCTGCAAATATATGACTTGCACTCATATGGGAATGCTTCCATTAAGTTTTATGTCTGAAATTTTGTAATTACTTCATGAATATGTGTGTACTAGTGCCCTCTACAGGATACAGATTGCTCACATATATGCATATATCTTAGTAATTCCATAAAAGTAGTCTTCCTCTTATTCATTGATTAAAGAGCTAAAGGTTGCAACTGTTGTTCTTTGCACTGTCTGTATAAAACTCATTTCAGCTATAGTGTCCTTAGGAGGATCTGTATATATTTTTACATTTGCTTTGGTAATTGTACATAAGAAATTCTACAGATCTCTGCTCTCGGCACTGTATGCTTTAATTAGCTGTCTTGATTCCACCGTCCTGCTGCTGAGATGATTAGTTGTCTGACATTTACTTCTCTTTTTGCTTTCAGAGGAAAACTCTAGCATAAAAACTGCAATAGTTCTTTTAACTTTCAGGAGGTTTCTGTGCCCCTAGTGATTTGCTTAGTCCACATTTTAGATTTTTAGTCCACATTTTTAGTTTTTAGATTGAAAACAGCATGATCTGTTGTTGTCCAAAATGGGCAGTAAGTAATCAAATCCTTAGCAAAACCAAAGTTACCATTTATGCAATGGCAGTCAGTCCTCAAGAGTTTGTTTGGGGATTTTATGCAGGTTTTTTTTGGGATATCCTACCAGTTTATTAGGCAGTATGTTATTAGGCATTTTGCTGTGTTATGGATAATTATTTAATAGAACTTCTTACTTATATTTTTCAGCCTACTTGCAGGCCAGTTTGCATTCTTAGTTGACTTTGTTTATGTGCTGCAGTTGTTATGAGCTATGCATGTTGGTTATGACTACTCTGAATCGTCACTTTTATGGTTTCTAAATTGCACTTTTTTTTTTCTTTTTTTCTCTTTGTTTATCATGTTGTAGCCTCTGACTAGCTTTTCTTCCTTCTGCAGGCAGGTAAAAGGTCCTGTTACACACTAAGGCAGCACCAACATTGTTTACAGTCATTTTTTAACATCATATGAAAGGTAGGCGAGGCTGATGTGCCTCATACTCAATGTGTGACTTAGTCTTGGATGATCGGTGCTCTGTTGGGAATTGGCACAAAGGGCGTGGACATGAGTTTGTGGAACAATTGTTCGATCTGAGCTTGCTTTAAGCAACCAGGAGCAGGCCTCAGCAAATCCCATGGCCTGCTGTAGCTGAGCAAACCAAGCTACCAGGGCAACTATGAGAAGTTCCCACGACAGTGTTCCCACGTCGCCCAATTGAGGAATTCAGAAAAATATTGTTACCAGCAGCTGGCTTCAAGGACAAGATCTACGCGACTGCTAATCACAAGGGGGTTGTTTTCTTGCAGGTGGGGTTGTTTTCCTGTAGTTGTTTGTCTAAGTGCTTTTGACCAATAATCTTGTGTGAAACACTGTCCGCCCCTGTTAAGTTCACTATAAAAGTTAGGCTACTCGGGCAATAAAATGGAGCATGATCTGACTCTGCTGGTGTCTGTCGTGCTTTCGGCCATGCTTCCTGCAACGTGCTCTAACAGTGCTCTGGAGAAAATGCTTCTTGCTTCTGGGATGGAAGCACTGTGAAGTGAACTCTTCCTAGTAAAAGGCCATTGGGAAGGAGTTTAATGTGATCACAATTATTTCAACAAGTTCTGCATCGAATTCTTGAACAGAGCCTCTTAAATCAACACTAGAATGAAGATAATTCATTAGATCAGAGAAAGAGGGAACAGGTAAATGGCCAGTTTTTAAGGTGGATGGAGATATCTGGTAGAGAGACCTGCAGGTAACTCATCTGGGTTTAGCACTCAGTTGCTTAACATAATCTGGAAATAGAGGGTTGTGAGTTAAGTTATGGATTCAAAAAGCAACTGGATAAATCAATGAAGACAAATTATGAATCCACAACTACTAACTACAAGAACACCACCTCCTGGTCAGGAATCCCTGGTTCACAAATCATCGTGATAGGAAAATACACCAGGGAAAAACAATGACATGCTTGCTTGATTATGGAATGGCTTGTGTTGGAAGGGACCTTAAAGACTATCCAGTTCCAACCCCTCTACCAAAGGCAGGGACACCTTCCATTAGACTGGGTTGCTCAAAGCCCCATCCAACCTGGCCTTGAGCACCTCCAGGGATGGGTCCTGGGTTCTTAAGCTATTTCCTTTAATTGGTTGGCTTAGGTCTTAAAATGACCTTCTTTGCCAGCTTCTCATCATGCTTTGATATTACAGAGCCTCACTGCTCTGTAAAATTGCTTTGCTCAGTAGCTGCAAAAGGCTGGTGGGAAAATTCAAAGTAACAGTGCTGATTGCCAGAGTAAAATCTGTACATTTTCTCACTACAGAAAACCTCCTGCATATTGTAGATGTTCCATATATCTCAGCTCATCTGTCCCAAAGGCTGCTTCTATTTGTTGTTGTTGTTGTTGTTGTTGTTGTTGTTGTTTTACGGTGCAGAAACTGACTGTACAATTTGCTTGCAAAATGCCTGACTGATCTCTCTTTCAGTGCAACTTCCCTAAATGACTTAGGAGTGGAATGTCTCAGGACTGGTGTCAAGAGAGATTAGCAACTTGCAAAGCATCACGTGCATGGGGGTTGGTAGCTGGGCTCTGAATTGTATAGCTGAAATCTGGAATGTGTTTATGCGGTCTCATTAGGAATAGTAATATAAATCACATCTACTTTTTAATCTATATTCACACATTTGTAGTCAATACCTCAGCATCAGAGGAAAACTTGTAAATGAATACTAGCTTTGGCAGAACACTTGCACAGCTTTTCCTAATACATTTATGGTGGACTCTATCTGTTTCAAGGTTTTGTACCCGAGTTAAGTTTGGCTTTTGTAGACAGCTTCTGTGAAGTCCATATTTCACTCTAATAGTTAACTTTACCCAATGGCAAATCAACAGAAAGTCACAGGCAGTTTCTATCTGTTTTCCCAAGCTACTCTGCATTCTGGACCACTTTCTTTATAGTAACCCATATCACTGATTTGATGACATTCAGTTTCAGATTTTGTCTGTGTTCATTTCAGGACTGTCTCTACATCTGCCACAGTATCTCTACCCCTGTGTCTGTCTGATCTTTGAAATGGAAAAATTAATGACCAGCTAGAAACACATAGCTCAAACCTTCCTTCCCATTCACTTTTCCAGAGGCTTGAATAAAAAAAAACAGCTGATCAGTTCTGAGTGATATCTGAGATCTGAAATCACAGAAACTGAGAAACCAGAGCAAAAATGATATGAAAAAGAAAAAAAAAAAAAAAAAAGGAAAATTATGGGCTTTTATTTTTTTATCCTCTGTGCTTTTGGGTTCTGTTACTGGACTGCAATAGGCTTCAAGTGATTTAAAGTGACTTCTTAGACAGAAACAAGAAACCTGAATTTTTTGTATTTAGAGACTTCATAGTGAGAATAATAGGAACAAAGTACAGTTAACTATGAAGTTTGTGTGTTATCTCTGTATGGTAAAATGGAGCCAAGCAGTTTATTTACATTTATTTATTATGTTCTAAGAAATGCCTTTCCCATCTATGAGACATAAGCATGTTGTCTGAGTTCTCTTAAACTTTTGTTCCAGCTGTAATAAGCATTTCTCTGTGAAAATTGTGGGAATTGGCCAAATCTTCAGAAAAATTCAAACACATTGCTTACTACTACTGATGTCTGCCTTTAGAAGCCCTGGATAGATAGTCATGCTTTCCAGAATTTTCATAAGACCATTGTTTTGAGTATTAACCATCAACCATTTGTTTCACAGTAAATGTCTGCATTGATGTTGTAATTAACATGAAATAATCAGACCCACCTTGACATTAAAATTAAGTAGGAAGGTAATATGTAGTTTGATCAAGATGTGGTGGTCTATGAAGTCCTAAAGGATTTCTGTTCTCCCATCAACTAGACAATGAACAAGGTCTTAAATGCTCTGCTCTGCTATTTGTCAGGAAATGCCGGAAGTATTCAGGGGATTTCCTAACACTTTGCAGGTGACTTGTTATTTCAGGTTAAAACTCATCATGGCTACTGTACATAGCTTCACATTTTAGCACACATTCTTTAAAATATTATTTAGCGTCAAAAGATATATTTTTATTTTATTTTATTTTATTTTATTTTATTTTATTTTATTTTATTTTATTTTATTTATTTTATTTTATTTTATTATTTTATTTTATTTTATTCTGGAAACACTCATTAAAATGTGCTGACTTGTACCTCTTTACTACAGCCAGGACAGTGAATCAAGCATTCTACAGCAGTTACTGCATTCTGTTCAAATATCCAGCACAAATATATTTCATAACAGTGTTCTTTCAGAACCTCAGGGATGGTGTCCAGAAACTAATTTTATTTATTTGTTAAACATCAGCATTTTTTTTTAGTGATTAAGAAATAAAAGTAGCAGCCTGCTTTACCTCCAAGCCGTGCCCTGACTGAAGCAGCTGGCACAGCTCTGGAGTTCCACCGTCTGTCCTGGCTGGTTTCCTCCTGGAGGATCGTGTGCCTCCTGTGGGCAGTCTGGGCCCCCTTTCCTGCAATGGGAATCCGCTGCTGAGGTTTCACATCACTGTAGTCCACCAGGGATTCAATAGCTCTTCCAACATGTGGCTGCAGATCAGCATCTCCTCCCGCACTCACAAAACCTGAGCAGGGATCTACTAAAGGCACATCATCTCGGTGTGGGAATAAGGGGTAATTTGGCCCAACTGGAGGGGTGTGCGGATGGAATTTGAGGAAGGAATTGCTGTCTTTCTCTTCAAAACTGGTAAAGTCATGTCTGTTCTCAGGACCTCTCACAAGAGGCATGCATGTCTTCTTTGACAAGTTTTGGTACTGTTGGTGACCTATCCTGTGAAGTGGTTCAGCTGATACGGCGAAATTCTTAAAGACAGTTGCCTGCCTTTCAGCTCCATGGGAAACTGTGGTCATTCTCCTTTATCTCCCTTATGTGGCAGTGAATTTAACAGACTCCACTTGCTTCTGTTTCTCCAAGTTTCTCAAGTCCTAGCCAAAAAGAAACACAGTAAAACTAGAAGTTATCATCCAGTGTATCAGCGCAAAGGAACTGCAAAGAGCAAGGCAGTGGCTTAAGCAGTGAATTCTTTCCTGGAAAGGGATTTATCAAGTAAGGCGCATAAAGAATGGAGCTGCTGAATTAGCAGTGAGTCCTCTTGTTGCTCGGTAACAATGGAAACAGACTCACAATGAAACGTCTCCTGGTGTGTAACGTGGCTCAGCTGTCCCACAGCTACCCCGTCCCTCGTCCCTCACAGGGACACAGATAGCAACTTGAAATGACAACAGCAATTACTTATTCATCTAGGAGAGGAAAAATTAACGTGCTTTCAATTTTGTTACATATTATCTGGTGTTTTCATTGATTTGTTTTAAAATAAATTGTTCTGTCCATATCTAGACAACAAATATGAATTACACTGAAACACAGATTTAACACAAAATTTATCAAATGCAACTGCAGATAAATGCAAATACAGAAAACTTGTAATTATTATTTAGAATAAGTAAGCCAGATGGACATCACAACATTCCATGCAGCTCAATTTCTTGCAGTTTTGCCAGTTGTTCTATCGCTTGTCAAACCCACTAATGTTCCAGGTCAGAAAATGCAGCACTCATTGCCTAATCCCAAGCTCAATAGTCTTCACCTAGCAATCAAAATAAAGCAGTCTGATTTATAGGGGCCCTCTCTGCATAAATTCTGTGCTCTCTGCAAAGGTCTGGCACTTAAGAAAAATCAAACTATGTTTATTTAGACAACTCCTTTCATACTATGGAGCCTTTATTTTATGGGTTTGTCAGGATAAATTAGGGCACAGAGTCTGATCATTCTCCCATTTATGTTAGTGTCCCAAGAATATAATTTCCTGGAATTCCTAACTTGCTCTTGACTAACATGAAATTGTAAATGGGCCTAACATTTATTACACTACAGGTTTATAGCAATAAGAAGTTGTGTTCCATAATGCAGAATTAAGGCAGTTCTCTTTTGATTTTTTATTTTGCTGATAAAGGAAAAAAAAAAAGCCTCCTTCTTGACTATGACAGCTTTCATATACTGATCACGAGAAATAAAATGGTAACAAGTTGCATGCGAGATCATTCTATGTGCAGCAGTGGCATTGTAAGGCTATGAAACTAAAAAAATAACTACAAGAAAAATAAATACCAGAACTCTTGGTCTGACCCAACTAGTGTCCATTTTCTATAATAATTGTACATTCCAGTTAGTGACATGATACTTTCAAAATTTGACTTTTGCCTGTAACAAGCCTTTAAAATACCATACTAATGTCTGTATTTACTGATACTCTGTTATCTCTGTACAAAACATATTCAGTTTATACACTAGAGCTAACACGCAGGGTTGCAATCTGACCTGCTTCCCCACGGCTTCATTTTTTCCTGGAAAGTTTAGTAAGAGATGGCAGGAGAGGCGAAGACACAGGACCCAGGGGAGGCACGGGATGGAAGCCATTCCAAGGAGACCTCATGCTTTGTTGCAGAGTGAAGTGCAATTAAAGCTTTACTCTGGATTTTGATGACAGAGATTCTGTCCAGATTATCCTGGGAAACGAATTTGACAGCTAAGGAGGCTGAATGGTTTCTAATGCCAATTTTTAGCAGCAATTTGTGATGGAAGAAAGAACGTGGAGGAGGTGGTGAGATGTTTGTGCAGATGTGCTGTACTGGCTGCCTGCCTTTTACCTTACTTCAAGATTCCTACGGAGCAGTCTTTTTCTTGATGTCTTTGACGTGAACAGCTGTATTTCCTCTCTGGCACAGTACCAACATGCCAAATTTCCCAGCCCAGCCACATTTCGCTGCCAGCCTTCGCCTCCTTCCCAGATAACTCCCGACGCCCACCTCACCGCCTACACCAGCGCCGCCCGGGACTCATCCATCCCGCACTCCCCGGCGGCTGGCGCTGGAGCTGCAGCCGCGGCAGATGTTTCCCGGGGCTTTGAGGATGTGAAAGCCTCCCCCCTTCCCTTCCCTCGCCCCTCCGGAGCTCGGCGAGCTTCGGAGCCCTCCGAAGGGCCGGGGGGCGGCGGCGGCGCGGCCGTTGGGGGCCGCTAACGACCGCCGGGCAGCGGCACCGGGGCAGCGGCCATGGGCGGCGAGGGGCGCCCGGGGACCCGGGGCCACCTCCGCCTCGGGCTCCTCCTCGTCCTGCTGCTGGCGGCGCCCGCAGGTACCGCGTAATTTATCAGCACCATAGGCAAGCTGGTGAATGGTTGGTAGCCAAGGCACCGAGCCGAGGGAGCTGCGTCTCGGTGCCGAAAGCCACCCTTGATATAGCCCTGCAGCGGGATGGCTCGGGTGTAACGCTGCTGCTGTCAGCTAAGGCAGATGAGGTTGGGAAATCTGAACGTAGGAACTCACTTAGGCTTCCTGGTGGCATTACATTCGCTTATTTAATTTGTACATTAATACGCATACGTGCCGGATCTTTTTATTTGCCAGTCTAGTTATGATCAAGTTTCACTAATGCCTTTATAGGGCCTTTTCCATGAATGACATTAAGGGTAAAGCTCAAAGTCCTGCTCTGAAGAAAAATAAATAAATAAATAAATAAAAATTAAAAATAAAAATAAAAATAAAAAAAAGAGGGGGAAATCATTCACAGTATTTCAGTATATACTCACTGAAACACTGCTGTTGTATTATTTCTTCTGCCCTAGGTTTTAATAAGCATAATAGACATTATCAACTCCAAAATACCCATTCCATTTTGTTGCATTGGGGAGTTATTAATATAGTCTGAGTTTATTTTGATTTAAAGAATATGCACCTTTTCAACTATTTTTCTTTTATTTGCTAATGCTTGCAGTTTGGGCTGGTGTGTTTTTCCATAAGTGAGTAATTAATGTCTTGGAGGACAACATGGAGCACGTTTCTTAAAATGCCTAAATTACATTTGACTTGCCTATGTCATCTGAAGGGATAGAATATTTAGCTTTCTCTAGCTTCACAATAAGGGAAACTTAAAAGTTGTTAAAAATTAACTTTGTATTCCAAGTTATAAAATGTTCTAGTGGTGTAACTGTCAGAGGGGAAATATAAAGGCTGACTTGAAAAATGTAATATACTTAATGCAAAAGCATAGTATACTTTATGTATTACTGTGTTGTTGTTTTTTTTTCAAAAGGTTTCAACACTCTGAGACAGATTGGAAACTGAACTTCAGTTTTTCCTATATAACTTTCATATTTCTAGTAATAGAAATGGTAATATTTCTGCATAACACCATCAGTAGGCTGCTTGGAAATGCCAGCTGTAATTAAAATACTTGGATATAGGAAAACACTTGACTATTAGCATGATTGAGCAAAAATAACTTAAGTAAGTAGCACTGCTATTTATACAGTCTTTTGGTGCAGAAACCTCTTTACAAAAATTATCTTAAAACATAATTGCTTTGAAAAAACTTTTAGCAATTACCATAACTTAAATAAATCTTTTTTTTTTTTTTTAAACTATGTTGTAGAATTTTCATTTCTAAATAAATGAAACAAAAATATGCCAATTGAACATTCTAGCAATACAGTCTCATATTAATTAGCAAATTGATTAATTAATTCCTTAAGTCTCATTTTAAACTCTAATTCCTGCGCTTTTCAGACCAAATTGAATTTTCTGATAAATTAACTTTGAAGATGACAAATTTTGCTTCCGTAGCATTCACTTGAAGACTAAAAGATTTGGAATAAAATGTGTTATGGAACGGCAGAATTACTTTATGTGAAATTCAGTGCTGGGGAGCGGCATTCTTTTTGGGTGCGCTGGGTGTATGAATTTGTGCTCGTGCAGTCATTGTTAACCTAACCAGCCTCTGTAATGACCCTGGGGCAGGGGCTGGGGGTCTGCAAGTGCAGTCACCCTCTGTTTCCCGCCTGGTGTTGAGACTTTTCCCCCTATAGGCTTTATTCCTATTTCTCCCTTAGCAATACTTGAGCTTCATTTCTCTCTTGGCTTTGGGTACTACCTATTTCTTTGGATTGACTTTATACTCCAGCCAAGGAGATTTTAAATGCATCAGAACAGGTTAGCATTTTACACTTAAATTGAATTCCCTGTGGAATCTTTGGCCTACTTCCGTGGCATAAGTTAGCAATAAAACTGTTGAATTTAATTCCAGAAGATCTTAAAGTTGCCCAATGAATCCTCAAGTAACAAGAATACACCCTGGAATTCCAGTAATAACCAGTCATTTGGAATGGCTCTTCAGTCAGAAGAGGCTTGAATCACCCCAGACTTGTGGGTGAATTGCCCCATTTCCCTGTGTCAGATAGTGTTAGATAACTATTTTTCATCATCTGTTTTCATCTGCAACCCATTGCTTGCTCATTGTACACGCCTGTAAGACGTACAATGCAAGGAAGGATCACATGTTATGCTATGCATTTCTAGTGCATTGGGATGCCTTAAAAACTTACATGGGAATTAATTAAGAAGCCACATTTATTTTTCTCTCTTGAAAAGCCCCCAGAACCCCAAACTTTAGCTTTTCCCACTGCTTGTTAAGTGCAGTTGCAATTTGAAGAGATTTGGTTGTGCATTTAATGTCTTTAAAATGCAGTAGAAGCACTTCTTTTGTCCTTTATTGTTTTTGCTGCTCTTTCTGTGGAACATAATGACCTCTTAATACTTCTTTTCTATGATAAGCATCTGTTTAAACTGATCATAGCACTCTTAAAATAGAGAGTGTGAATGAGAAGATCTTTTGTGCTAGAGACTGGTGCAGGAAGTGTGATTTAAACCAAAGTGATTAGGAGAAGAGCAAAGGAATTCAAGTAGGTTAACCTGAAAAACGTTTTGAAAAATGTTTAAAGGCATTTTAAGTATCTGAAAGTGAGGGAAAGGATGTCTGAGAATTCAGATTCATATGTGGACAGAAACATTTATTGAGTGAAAGGACTGATGTGCAAATGAAACATATACACATAAAAGAGCAGGTAACCTGACTATTTCAGAATCTAGCATGTGATGTCATTAAAGATACTGGAAAAGTTATTTCAGTAGTTTTACATAATCTTCCTCTGGTAACTAACTCAATTTCTTCAGCTTTTTCTAGTTCTTCTCATATAAGCAGTTCAAGAGCTCCATCTTTGGGTGTAAATTATTATTGTAAAAAAAAAAATACTACTCGACTCTTCTGCTTAGTGCCTAAACATCCCATAAAAAGCGTTGTCAATTTGCAGTGCTTGTCCTAACTTTTCTAGATACGTAGAGATCATGTGGATGGTTAATAGTGGCAGAATTTAAAAACAGGCTGTGTTTCAGGTAGGATTGCCATTCAGGATGGATATAAATCAGTATGCTTTTATTGAAATAAAAGCACCTGCTGATATTTGTTCCTGGAGAATCAGATCATGTGCTTCTGTGAGCTGAATTTTAGTGAAAACTTAGTTAGTTTTTGCCAGTGTAGCAGAATTCAGGAAGACAGTATAAATATTCAGGTGAGAAATTTTTAATCCACTTTGTTTTTTAACAAAAAAACCTCTAATCTTTCTTGCAGGTCTTTAGAGAAAATGAAGTTAATTAAAAAATTTTTGCTCCTCAAAAAAAGTTGAAAAGTGGTACTTAGTGAAGAATTATTATGAAGTAAATTAAACTGTTAATCGCAGTAATCCATCATATGTGAGACTACTCATGATCTTCTCTCATTTTTTATTTTTTATTTTTTTTCTCCAGCAAGGTTTTATTTCTCCCTGCTCCCTAAGTTTTTTTGAATAGAATATTCTGCTTATATTCTCAAAGGATGAATATAGGCAGTTCTTTTAACTTACCTTGATTATCTCTACCTTCCAGCTAGAGAGCCTGCCTTGCTTCTGTTTTCTATAGCAACACTGTATGGTAGAGGAGTACAATTACCAGCTTAATACTAGATGGGGGAATTGATAATTTCCTGTTATTGCTCAAGTCAAGGTAAATCAAATCATTTTTCTTGTGCCTCAATAAGTGCCTTAATTTAAAATGAGCTTACCCAACTATTTGTTGCCTGGTGACTTGAGCCTAAGTTAGCAGCAAGCACTGATTTGGTGCCACATAACTATTTATCCCATCTTTGTAAAATATTGGCTACTAATTACATGTTTGGTATTTTATTGCCATCTTTTGTGTTCAAGACTTTAAAGTCCCATGTTATTTACTTTCTTTCCCAGAGTTCTAAAGAACTAGAAATCAGAAACATACCTTAATTTACAGTAACCCATGTTCTTTACAAACGGGAGGTGGAGACAAAGAACGCAAAATGCTGAGACGTCTGCTAGCCACTGGTCTCTTTCTGCTGCCTTAAATTCTGTGTATCTGGAAAATCTGTAAAAGAAAGTCAGATCTGACCTGCACTAGAATGTCCACCTGATACTGCAACTGAAAGATCCTTCTATACAGTTTCCTTTCAGAAGCCTTGTGTTCCTTGCAAAACTTTTCAATCATTATGAAAGTTTTGGGAAATCTCTATTTAAAATCTCTATTTAAAATTAAAGTAGCCATAAAACCCCTTGTATTTTAATTTAATGGGGAAAATAGGAAAATCACAATAATATCAAAACCTAAGCTAATTGCTTCATTAATGGTCAGTGTGCAGATTGATTGACATCCTGATGGTGTCTATGATAACAATGCAGTTAAGTTTTATCCCCATTTTGGATAGCACCTAACCTCACTATCCCCATTATGGACAGCCTTAATTTAAATCATGATAGTTCTTTTGTAAGACTTAAAAGTATGGTTAAAGCTAAGCCTAAACTTAAGTATCGTTCCGAATGCTTTTGTATATCAAACCTTGGTAATTTCTATTTGTTGCCTTTGTGAGGAACAGGCCTTGCATAAGACATCAGACAGTTACTAAATCTGTTGAAGAACAAGTCTAATAAAGGTTTTACATTGCCTGAAGTATGTTGTTGGCTTTTTGAGAGAAACTGTGTTGTATTAATGTTGTTGTTTTATCTTTTTACAGTTCAACCCTCACAGGGATTTTTAAGAAGTGCAGGGCCAAGACGCAATAGCTTAAAAATAGTTGGATCCATCATATTTCCAGGTACTTTTCTTTAACATAACATAACAAATTTCAATTAGAATATACCAATTTTGTTTTTACCACAGAAATGCACTTCTCCATCATATTACTTGTTGTTTAATTGTTTTAAATGGTTTAATTAATTACAATTTTGAACTGACATGTATGTTTAATAATAGGTCATAAAAGCACATATTGCTACCATTGAAATGTATTTTTATTATAGTGATTTTATAATTTTTATGAGACCAAGGTAGATAATTATTTTCCGTAATTGTTATAAAATAACAATGTTATTTGTATTCTTCATCCTGGCTGTAAGACTTTTGCCTTGAAATACTGCTTTCTTCCATTCTATGCATGCCTACTTCATTTTACTTCTTGTGTACACAGAACCTGAGACTTGAAGCTTATGTTAATGTTCTACAATAAAAATGAAGAAGTGTTAAGAATTAATTGTTCATTAAATTAAATCCATCCAACTCCAGAATATAGTATAATCATTTTCTTTTCTTAATAAATTAAACAATTACTGGAAAATATGAAAATTACATTAAAGAGGCAGTTCCTCATGCCATATGCTTATTGTGTTGCTGTCTCTGTAATGCACATTGTCTGATTTTAATAAGACTCTTCCCCATAGTTTTCTCTATCTGTGTTTTACAGTTACAGCTTTACTAGTAGCATGCCAAGAAATGATGAGCTCTAGTCACTATAAAATACATATATAAAACAAAAACAAAAAATAGCCACCACCACCACAAACAACAAAAAAGTTTCTACTGTGAATATGAGAATAGTAATATCGTTCTTTCAACAGGGCTCTTACTGTATAAGAAAGAAGAACAAAACTGAGACAAAACCAAGTCGAATTCTAGAAAATGTACATCGGTCTTTGCAGGACATTCCTCCAAACTTGACTATTACATAAGAAGTTAACACAAGTAGTTTTTTCAGACTGAGCAATACAAAAAAAAAAAAAAAGCAGTTTGTGATCACACAGTAACTTTTGTCAGACAGGAAGATCAAAAGATCAAACAAACTTAAAATTGGGAATTTAGCGTTGAAGTGTCTTTAGACAAATACTTTTTTTTCCCCCTTTTTTGAAAAGCAAACCTCTGTGTCTATTTCTTCAGATTCAGGAAAGAACTTCTGGATGGAGAAAAAGCTATCCTTAATGGAGGCAGTTGCCTGGTGATAATAGCGTTCAAATGTAAATTGAGAGATACATTTTAAAACTGGTGGTTAAAACTTTGAAAATTCTTGTACTCACTCAATGCAAATTAAGATGAGCTCAAAAACCTATGTAATTATTTTCCTCTCTGTGAGTTCCACCTATGGAAAGTATAGTCCTTTAATTTCTCCCTTGCTTCCTTCCTCATACTGCTGGCAGTTAGGAAACTTGCATAGTTTCTGGAATATTTTCCTAATTTCTATTCCTTTCTCACATCCAGAACAAACATGTCAAAAACAAATGAAAGCATGCCTTTCAAAGGTAAGCAAAATAAAATGTACTGTAAGGCAAAGCAATTTTCATGTATTTAGAGCTAGAAAAATTAGCTTCTGCTTTCCCTCTCCCTCTGTTTCCCTCTCCGTCTCCTTCTCCATCTCCTACATCCATCCTTCTCTCCTCCTTTCCCTTTTTTCACTATTGCATTTAAATTCCAGATGGAGAAAGAGTCAAATTTCTTCTATTTGAACTAGCACCAGAATGAAAGACAATATATTAGTACCAGGGAGATGGGCAGCAACATACTGGATAATCAAACTTACCTGACTGAGATAACATCTTTGAACCTGTACCACTGGCTAGCTCTCGAAGTTCTGCACCTGTTTTTGTAAACAAATTCAGCAGTATGAATACCCACAAATAATCTCCAAAACTTTTGTTGTACAAGGAGAATGTAAAAAATTACATATTTTGATATTGTTCTGGAGGAGTATTTTCTTAGATGTATTAGCTTTTGTTGAAAGGTAAAAGATTTCTGGAAAATAATTTCTTTTTAAAGGTTTCTGATAGTGACCTTCCATTATGAAATTATTTAAAGATTATTATTAAATAGTTTTTTTGAGTGGTCTGAAGGTTTCATCCTTTTTGTCTAGTTTTTCTGTCTTCTGATTCTGACTGAGGTCTGTAAACTTGGCTATAATGTGACTGCAAAAGGGAAATTTGAAAGTTAGGAAGCACAATTAAAATGTTTTTCTCAACTCTGTTTCTAAACCATTTTGTATTAATGAAGACCTGTTTACACCTTCCCTTTGATACCCATTGTGAGTACATGTGACTTGGCTCCAGTGTTGTCATGAAATGTTTGGCATTATCTAGTACTTTGAGTTTTGACTACCAAAATGTGCTTAAATACAGTGCTACACTATTCAAATCCTGAACTGTTGAAATACCTGGCATAAATGTTCTTTTTTGGATCAGTTTCTGAAGTGATTTATTTCTCTTTTTATAACAGAAAGAATATGAGGAATTAAGGAAAAAAAAAAAGCAAAGAACTTTAATTAAATGTATAAGACTTTATTTTAAAAGCAAGAAGAGTAAACTTATACCTGGTAGATATTTTATCAGTCATTGTTCTCCAGCAGATTCCCTACTTCTATATTGTTCCTACAACATATGTTTACAAAGGTGTCATGGAAATTTACAGTGGTGGGGAAAAAATTACCATTTGGCAAGTCACAGTAACAAAGACACCACAATTTTGTTACTTTTCATTATGGATATATAAATACGTTTAGGATTGCTATAAGACAAAGCAAAATGAACATGAGGAAATCAAAAACAAAATACAAGGTGGGAGAGATATGCAATCTATATAATTTTTCTGCAGTGGACTATTATTAAAACCAGTATGTTAGTAAATTTTGAGAAAAAGTATTAAGGATTTACAATGAAAAATGCTCAGCACACCTGCAATTGCATAGATATGTAGAATTCATATTAATTTATATGCTTCTGGTTTAAAAACTGAAATTGCACCTGTAAATGACATTTATTTCCATGATATGCTATTGGAAATTAAAAAGATATTCTTCTGTTTTCTGCAACAGAAGCTACTATAACAAGTGAATTATTAGCTGGGATGGGCATACCTTCTGTTCTTAAGACTATCAAAATTCTGAATTTATTTTTTCTATATTAAATGTTAATATCTAAGTCTGTATTCTGTTTAAGCAGCTTAATGTTGTGAATATAAGTGGCTTTTCATTCTTTAATGAAAGGAAACAACCATACTTGAAGGGGAGAGAAAACTGGTACCATTGCTGCCACTTGCCATAATGGAAAAGTGGAAATTGTTTTTCTGAACGTTAATCCCTTCCTGCAACAACTAGCTAAACTGCTTTCCACCTGCGGGGAGTCTGAAATAGTCAGTGGTAAAATAAATAGTAATTTGTTTATTTGATTCTGTTTCACTTATTAGTCAGATTCTCTAAACCACAGTGCAATAATGGTGGTGGTTTTATATTAATTGTAGCTTTTCAATGGCTTTAGGATAGCCTGATACGTTCAACTTCAGAATACTATAATCTAGCATCCCATGCTTCTGAAGAACACAAGTGCTTTGCAAAATGTCAATAGGAAGGGATATAAAACAAATTGTACACTGAAATCATGTATATTATGGGAGTGATTATGACCACACTGATCTTGACATTTTTAGAAGTAATTAAAGATCTGGAAGCATGTGTACACTGCAAATCTCATGTGACATGCACACTTGCTTTACTGGGACAAAAGACGAAGTATATCCTTACTTTACTCAGTTTGCTTCTTAAATCATCGTCTCTGAATTGAAAATTACCTCACCATTTATTGAGGTACAGCACTAAAACCTTTTTTTTTTTTTTTTAATATGAACATACATATTTATATTTAGGTATGTAGTGCATTGGTAAAAGGCAATTGAGAATAGAAAGTAAACAGCAAGCTTCCAAGTCTGAGCGTTCTAGATTAACATGCTGCATCTCTACTCTCTTCATGTGTGTGTTAGACACCAAGTGAGACAGTAAACTGCAGAAGCCCATGTTTATAAGAGCCTACTAAGAGACATACTCCACTCAGGAGGATGTTACAGTGCACTGTAGTTCTTGTTTACACAACCATATAAACCTAGAGCTAGAAAGAATTCTCTTAATGTTATTGTCCAGAGAAAAAAAAATGCTCTCTGTTTTTATATATTATTTTGATGTAGATATAACAGGACCAGTGCCAAAATTAGAACTCCATTCAAGATCATCTGTGAACTACTGTGTTAAAAATGTATAGCTCACTGTTAGGACAGCATTGGTAAATGTCTGATGCTAATGATAATAAACTTCTTTCAGTGAAGGTTTATGTCAAGCTGGATCACAACAGTCCACGTATTTTATGTGTTACAAATCATTTGAGAAACTCAGAATTGATTGATCCGATATTCCGGTGGAATGGACCAGGTGGTTATCTTTCTTCAGGTAAGTATTTATGTTCTTACATGGCCCCCTGCACCCTCTGTCTTCTCCTCCTCTTCACCTTAAAAGAAGCATGTTGTCTACAAAGGTGGGAATGTAAATGGAGAACAACAAACTGAGGATACTTGGTGCTTGTATGTGTATCAGATACATTAACTTTCTAGTTTAAGAATTCAGGATGACCAAAATAAAACAGATCTGCAGATCTCTGTAGAAGATGTTGCCTTCTCTAAAGAGTACAAGGCAGAGCAGGGCATGCTGGATACAACAGATGCTGAGGGTGACATTCTTTGCTGCCCTGAGAGACAGCTGGGAGTGTTCTGTAAGGACAGAGTAATAGGGTCATGGCCTGTGAGATTGAGCCCAACCTCCTGCTCAATGACAGGCTGCCTTCAGATATGAAGTTGTTTATGGCCTTGACCTCTATCCATGGAGATTTTTTTTTTTCCTTTCTGTGCAACTTGTTCCATTTTTTTCTTATTTTCACTCATAATTTCCTGTATTGCAAGTTGTCATCATTACTACTTACCCTTTTGGGATGTACTTCTTAAAAGGTACAGTTTATTCTTCTTGTAACTCCCCTTAGGTGGTGAAGCACTGCAATTCCCTCCTTACACTTCTCTAGGATAAAAATCCCAGTTTTCTCTGTGTCTTGTCCTCTAACTCCTTAACAATGTCCCAGGCTTTCTGCTTGACTTGCTCCACTTTGTTAGTCTCTGTCTTGTCTTGAGGAGTCCAAACAAGATACAGTGTTCAGTAGTGCCCAAATAAGTGCTGAGTAGGGAGAGAATAATCACTTAATTTAAACTGCTGATTATACTCTTGCTGATGCATCTAATGAAGTCATTGTCCTAATCTGCTACTATAGCATGAAAACTACTAATCTCTCCATGAAATGTGCTGGGCTACTTGTACATTTACTACTTTTCTCACATAATGATTCCTTAGAGGTCATGACCTGCTTTGAGTTATGTTTTTTATTTACTTCTGTATATATCTCATTTGTTTTTTAGTACAATTTCCATACCTGTATTTTTAAAGTATATTGTACATTATGATGAATTTATAAATCTGTTTAATCTCCTATCTTAGTTTATTGTTTAGGTTATGAACTATTTACTCTTTTACAATGACAGTGCTACCAAATCCTATTTGCTTTCTTGTTAGTCTATATTGGTGTCTATCAGAACTCTATCCTTGTTTTTTGTGTATTTTCATGTATCTCCATCACTAGTAGGAAATTAGGATTCATAAACATTGCATGATATTTTATTTCATAATTTTTCAGTGTGTTCACAGAAAAGGAAAGAATCCTTTCAGTAGGAAAGTGGAATAGTGAATCCAGTCTTAGGAAAGACTAACAAAATTATGCTTTTTGGAACACTTCAAAATAAATGCAATTATTTAAGCATGAAGTCTACAGGCAGCGAGCCTATTTTTCATTGTGCTAACAGTCATAGGTAGAAAAATCAGATCCTTTTTCAGACAGACAAGACCCTTGACACACACCCTAAGAAGGTGTTTTGTGCCCCAAAAGTTTTTCCGACTATATAAATCGAACATCATGTCTACAATAAAAAACTCACAAAGAGCAGTAAACACTCTTTTCTTTCTGTTGTCATTAACAAACAGTTCTATTTTTTGAACAAGTCACTTTGATCACAGATAGTTCTAGTCTGGTTATGTATTGTTGAAATCAGTAATGAAAAATTAAATATTACATGATGTGTAATTTAAAATCATTACAACTTTAAAATTAACAAGCCATTTTCTTCAGTTAGTATAGTGACTCCTCTCTATTAAGATTTGGAAATTGTACTTTGAAGTTTTTAAACATCAGCTGTTGGTCTGTCTGACAATAAGAGTATTTCAAAATACACTTTAAGCGGATGAAAAAGATTAAAAATAATTGCTTCTTATGTTCTGCATCCTCAAGTTTCACTGCATAACACATCACTTTTGGTGGTGTCCTGAACAATTAAATAGAACAGAAAAGATGAGAAAGTTTTGTGAAAATGAACCTAGGAATTTGGACTTAAAGGACTTAAAGGACAGTTTTTTATACACATTGCTACCTAATGTACTCAAAGAAGTTTGGGAAGACTGCGACTATGTCCTTTGACAGGCAAAAAAAAAAAAAAAAAAAAGAAAAAAAAAAGTGTATACTATGGTTTTGTAAAACAGAGAACCTCAAAAGCAACTTACAAATTAAATACCCACACTCAGCCTGTCAATTACGAGATTTTCTAAAACCTACTGTTCATATATCTAGCAGTTCTGAGGAGAGGGAAGGAAGGAGAATCAGAACAAGAATGGTTTTAGCAGATGTGCATATCTGTATATTGATGATATTTTGATAACTTCTGCATGCTTCCTGAGAGACTGTTGAGTCCTGTCCAGACTACTCATCTGAGTAGGCAGTATTCATCCAGGTAATCTCATGAAGCAAGGAATTTTAACTGCGGTTTCTTTTTTAACACTAGGAAACACCCCCCCCACATACACACACAAAAACACAAAAGCAAAAACAACAAAAACAAAACCAACACAGGCTTTTGATTTTGTGATCCAATAGGAGATCCTTTACACATAGACATACAATTAAAATAATGAATGATTAATATTTATTTATTTTTTTTTTCTGTTGTGTGAAGCATCCATTGTTCAAGGTACAATAAAATTCTAAAATAAAATCCGTGACTTCTAAGAAGCCTTTACTATTTCTGCTGACGCATTTTCAAAAAAATACTTGTGACCAAATCTCTTCACTGCATTTCCAAACTTTGTCTTTTGTGGACTTCTTGTTGTCTTTTTAATTTAGTAATAGATTTTTTAAGTATAGCAAAACTGTGATATATCTTAAAAGTGCTCCTGCTCTCCAGGTGATGTTGCTTTTGGCCCACACAGGGCAGATGAACATGATGTTAGAACTACAGTTCTTAAATCTGTGATGGTTTTCTGACCATATTAATCTGTTATCTGTTTCAGCCTACTGTAGCAAATGTTATCCTAGTTTAGAGACACATCAACTACATCCCGAGTAATTCATCAGAGGATTAAAAACCTCTTCATCACCCCCAAAAATGAAAGACAGTGTCCCATTAGTGTGAAAATCTAATATGGAATCCCAAACCTTTCTTGTCAAAGAATTTGCCCTTCCAGTCTTTTTAATAGTACTCTTTTTTTTACCAGTGCTTAAATTTTATTTTAAATATAGTTATATATGTGGCAAAACTAAGTTGATTAAAAGGTTAAATAGGTTCTTGAGAAACAAAGTGGTCCCACAGCCTGCTGCCAAGTGTGTGAAAAGATGCAGTTCAATCCGGGTTGCTTTTGTTTTTTTCTCACTTCAGTACCTTTCTTAACGTTTCATTCCAGGAAAATCAGTGTGCATCCACACTAACATGTTAGTTTGAATAGAAATGTGGCTTTGAAGTGAATTGCTTGACCCTACCCTCTTACATTTTGTTTGGATTGTGGACTGGTTGTTGATTGCACAGCCTGTATTCCTTTTGGATGAAGCTAATTGGAAAGGTTTGCTTTGAGTGATAATGAGTGGTCAGTTTGTAAAACCAGACTAGGACTGATCTGAAGCAAAAAAAAACTAAGATGTCTGTAGTATAGATCTCAAGTCCTTAGCATTGATTTTTTTCACTCTAAAAGTATGTTTTTCATACCACACTAATTCCATGCACTAGATAAAGGTCTAAGTTGCTTAGGATGCTAAATATAGCTTTTTAGTTGTTTGTTTGTTTTACTCCAAAAATAGAACAAAAAAAAAATATCAAAATATTTTATCAAAGTGAGTATTTTACCTTTAAATCTATTCTAACCTGCTCTAATCCCAAGGTTTACTTTGACATCTGCCAGCAAGATAGGCTGCATCCTACTATTTGAGGAACCCTTATCTGTATTGGCACTACCTGAGGACTCTTAAGTCAGGAAAGGGCTCATCAGCTCTCATCATTTAACCTACAAGCCAAATACTTAGGACAACTGCATGGCTCAACATCAGTGCCCAAAGTCTGACCTCAAATATTTCTTTTCTTTATCCTTAAAAAAAATTAATTATAAGAGCCATGTTTATAATATGTCCTTTAAAGTAGGATTCCACTTCTTCTCTGTCTTGAGCTAAGGAGTGGTGTTAAGACTTAGGCTACTTTAACAGTAATTATCTTACCATACAGAAGGATTACTTTACAGTCTTAAGCATACACAGTTCTAATTTTGGCATACAAATATGATGGTTTTTTTTTGGAATGTCTGTCATACACTACTTGCTTAACTTGAACTTCTTGTCCTGCTTATGTACTTTCAAGTTTAATGCATGTTAAACATCGCCAGCTGGTAGTTAGTTGATTGGTTGAGACTGAAGACTGAGAGGCTACTACTCTCTTTAACTATATAAAGGTAAAATTACTAAAGTAAACAAACAAATGACAACATAAACACCTTTATTTGATCACTATTATTATTATTATTATTATTATTATTATTATTATTATTATTATTATTATTATTATTATTATTGGAGTTTTTTGCTCTTGGAAGTGGATACTGGAGAGACTATAATAGACGTAGGTCAAATAAAAGCAGATTTCTAGGACTGCTTCATGAACCAAAACTTAAAAACACATTAGCAATAAGAAATATTTGTGTAAAGCTGAACTGATTGAGACCCTCAATCAGTTTCTGATTCCTATGCCTTCAGCTAAATCCATATTATTATACAGTTTAAGAGTAAATAACCATTTGGACTGTTTCTTTGTGCATTTTCTCATCATGACAGCTAAAGTTATTTTATTACTGTGTTTACTAGAAAATAGCAGTGTGCAAATATCACCAACGGGAACTTTAATATTGAGACACTTCAAATCTCATCTGAGTGGAGTTTACAACTGTTCTCTTCGTTTTAAGTTAACAGCAACACAACCTGATAAAAAACTCTTATTAAAATATGTTATTTATGGTAAGTTATCAACCTCGGTAAGTGCGCTCTTATGTTCAAAAAGATTTTATTTTAAAACGTGTTGCTATTTCTGAATAAGTAGTACTTACTTGGAACTTAACTTGGGGAGGTAAAGACATTCTGTTTCTTTGGATAAACTGTTTTTCTTAGCATTTGCTACCAGGCAGTTCATTTAACGGCATTTACAGAGCCTTAGATGAAGCTCAGTGGTGTACTGAGAAATGTATGAACACAGTTCTTTTTTAAGAAAACATAAAACATAATGAAACGCAACAAATTGAATAGGAAGTAATCCTTAACTATGCAAAAATACTATGATTTTAAATTGAATTATTCTTTAGGAGATTAACTTTAGCACAGTCATATGGATTTATTTCACACCAGATTAATGCCTTAATTATTACCCAATTGTGTTTTTAAAATATAAAGTATGTATCATTTAATTATATAATATTCATAGCTCATTCTTTCTTGTTCTGATTACATAGTTGTCTGTCAGGAGGTAAAGTCTTTGATGAAGTGAAAGTGAACTATTATAAAGGCAATGTCATTCATTACTAGCTCTCTCTTTCTTCCCTAAAGTATAGAAATTTATTCTTGTAGAGATGTAGGCAAGAGTTCCTATGGCCTTAAACAGAACGGTGTCTGATCTTAAATTTGAAATGCATACCAGTGCTCATTTAAAGGCTTGGTAGAGCACAATAACCTAAATTAACCTCCAATGTAAATTAATTTGAGTTTGGCCTCAGTAGCCTTAATGTAGAATACCTATGACTTTTAGCAATTAGCTTGCTTGACAGAATTGGATAGGAAGAAATTTATTTGAAGGAGTTTTGATGGAAAAGTTTACTTAATGCAGTCTTACATTTTTCAATAGGGATCCAATCTAAATATTAGCACTACAAAACTCAAGTTTCATACAAATACAAAAAAAATCTAGAACATGCAGCAGCAAAAGAAAGGAAAAGGAGGACTCAAAAGCAAGGTGGAGGATCTTCTGAGCTGTCTTAATTGCATGTTCTGCAGCTATCCTAGTATTCGAAGGGGTTCTGTAGGAAAGCTGGGGAGGGACTCTTTGTCAGGGAGTGTAACGATAGGAGAAGGAGTAATGACTTTTAACTAAAAGAGGGGAGATGTATATTAGATGTAAGGAAGGAATTCTTCATGATGAGGATGATGAGGCATTGGAACAGGTTGTCAAGAGAGGCTGTGGATGCCCCATTCCTGGAAGTGTTCAAGGCTGGGTTGGATGGGGCTTTGGGCAACCTGGTATGGTGGATGGCATCCCTGCCCATGGCTGTGGGGTTGGAACTAGATGATCTTTAAGATCCCTTCCAATCCAAGCCATCCTGTGATTTTCTCTTTTCTTTCGGCTGGTTTGTTTTCTCTTCCTCCATTCTTTCTTCCTTGCACCTCTCCCTGCTTTCTTATTTCTATGATTCTACCCACACCTTGACCTCTCTTCTTCATTCTTTCACTCCTGTTTTTAATTTAACAACTTAGCATTTTGTTCTGTTGGTCTTAAGCTTTATGTAAATAGAGTGGTTATCATGAAAAAAAATATGCATTTTATGGTACATCGATATATTTGTAAAAGATGTCTGGGTACGCATTTAGCTTCACAGTAAAGCTGATGTAAGTGATTCTTCCTGAAAAGTAAATTTCATACCTGTATGGTAGCTTGTTCAGGTACTTACAGTGATAGAGAAGGAATTTCTGTTCATTTTTTACTCTTTTTAATATACTTATGTGATAGCTAAGTAATGTTAGATACACTACTATAACTGATGATAAAGGATAAGATGAAATACTGCACCACAAACTACAGGATATTTTGTAATATGCTTCTTAACCTTAACTTTCATGTTCTCGATGCCTCTACTGTAGTTTCCTGTTGGTGTAAAAAAATAAAAATAAAAAATTACAGCAATAAACAGCAAGACTTACCTATGGATATAAGGTAGGTAATAAGAATGTGGACTTGTATAACTCTGTCAAGCATTTCTACGTAGCCCAGTATATGTTATGTATCATTAAAAAATCTGTGGGGGTTCAAAGTAGTTTTTGCTTATAAATTAAGGATTAAGGATTTCAATTAATAATTTTATTTTCAAGTATATAAATTACTTTTTTTTTTCTTCTTACTTCATACATTTTCCTCATCATCTTTTGTATTTTTTTTTCTCCTGCAGCTTACTCTGATCCTCAGTATTACTATGAATTGACAGTACGGTATCACGCAGCCCCCTGCAATAGTTTCCATAATATTTCTTTTGAGAAGGCCTTGATTCAGATACTAAACAAGCTTGTTGCTGAACTTTCTTGTGAGGTTATCTTAGTTAAGTCAGAATGCCATCATGTAAAAATGCAGAGAGGAGGTCTACAGAATGAAATATTCTTTACATTTTCAGGTAAAAATCTGCCTTGCTTTTAAATAATGGTTATTTTTTTTTATAGCTATTGGACTTTACTGCTTATATGCCGAAAGCATTGTAAGTATTTAAAATTAAAGTTTTTCAATTGTTCAAAGTATTGCATGTGAAATTGATGTCAATAGCAAAAAGATAGGTATTTACTCAAAAATGTGTCCTTCACATTATTTCATAAGAGCTTCAGAACTTTTTATGGCTCTGGATAGATCAATATGTTTTTTATTTTTTATCATAAAACTTTATCGTGTTCCTTAATGCACACTAACATGGGAAGAAAAGTGGTACAGTGTATTCCATAACTCCCTAGATGACCTTCCTCTAGGCACCTATTATAGGTATATAAATCCCTCCATGAATGTGCTGTGGGGTTAAATGAGATGAATCTCAGTACCTTTCCTTCTTTAAGTGGCAATAATACAAGTGCAAAATTTAGTGTTCTTTAAAGAACAGCAGGAGTGTAAAGGAGACCCAGATGAGATTAAGTTGTCAAATATATGTATACTGGGTTAACTTTGGTATTTTCAGTTTCCTTTAGTCATGATTCAAAGCAAATAATTAGGTGGCTTAGAATCAGAATCACTGAATGGTTTGGGTTGAAAAAGACTTGAAAGATCCCTTCCCTGCCCCCACTGTGGGCAGGGGCACCTTCCACCAGATCAGGTTGCCTAAAGCCCCATCCAGCCTAACTTGAACACCTTCACGGATAGGGCATCCACAGCTTCTCTGGGCAACCTGATCCAGTGCCTCACCACTGGAAGTGGTAAATACAGTAAACAATTTTCATATTATGGTAAATAATACTCATAGTAAATAATTTTATCCTTATATCTTATTTTAATTTCCCCTCTTTTAGTTTAAAGCCATTACTTCCATTGCTTCTTGTGCTGTTGCTACACTCCACAACAGAGTCTGTGTCCCGTCCCGTCCCGTCCCCCCCCACCGAGCTGAGGAGGGCAGATGTCACTGAATTCTGGAATATTTAAGGCTTCTTACTGAGTGTCCTTATATACTGTAATAATAAAATGGTATAACTGATATTTGAGTGTCTTTATACATAAATGACCTTACAGTTTCTTAGTTACTTATCATCACTGCATAAAGTTCAGGTATTAAAAATACATTTTCATATTAATATAAACTTTTTTTTAATAGAGGCTTGTTTTCAGAATATTCCTTCTGAACACTGAAACCATGTGAAAAGAAAGTCTCAGCTCCTTTATGCTGTGAATGAGGTCTGAAAGAACATGTGATGCAGCCCCTATATATGTGTAGTTCATTTGATTTACTTTATGTTATTAAAAGAGATCTCTAAAACCTAAAGAGATGCAGTCGGTCATTGCTGAGCTGCATATATGTAAGATCACATATGTAAAAATTTTGTGAGCTTACTCTTTCTAATTATTTCAACTCTAAAAAGGCTATTTTTTCATTCTTTTCATTTATTGAATTAGATTAGTCACTATGTATCACGACATTCAGTTTGAGAAGATACCTTTCTGAAAAAGAATACCAATTGCATGTTTTCCACTTTCCATTTTATAATTTAAATTTTCTCAAAAATTAAATATAACTAGTTTCAAAAGTAATGAAACTGTTAGCTGTTTGTCTGAAGACTGTATTTGTAGTAAATAGCACTGACATGTGAAGACTGTAGCTAGTTTAGGTTAATTATTTATTGAGATGACATAAGTGAGATTTAAACAATATGCAAGCTTTATAGAATGTTTGAGCAATAGTTTGAAACATTTCTACAATCAAGGAAGAGAAATTCTCCAGTTAGAGATTCTGGTGGATTTAAACTTTGATACAAGCCAGTAGGTAAACTACACATGCGTTATTAGCTTGAGCTATTAGCACTTTTTGATTTCTAAGCAGCTTTTGGCATTCAGAATTACCTCTGTGACAGAGGTAGGTAAAGCTTATAATATAAGGAGTGAAATTAACATGTTAACAGATAATTTTCTACTTACTACGGCAAATTAATTTAATGTGAGTTCTGAAGAGTAGGCCAGCAGCTTCTAAACTATTTATTGGGCCTTCACTGTAACGTTAGTAGTAGTCAGTTGACAAGGAATGCGGACCCATGCAAATGGGTTACTAAAATATAACTACAGTTTTAATTCAGTCCATACTTCAAATTTTCCTTCCATTCAATGTCCCATAGGGCTTCCTATGAGGATGGAAAGGGCTGAGGGGGTGAAGATACAGAACTAAGATTTGTGCAGGGGAGGAGACCAGTGGGGGGAATCTTTAAAACACTAGATATTGCTGTAGTTGTTCTTGAAAGAAAACTCAAGTCAATTGCTTGGACAGTCAGAAGCTTGAACAGTTAGGATTCCTGGCTGACTGTTTCAAAACTTGTCTTCATAAATGCATAATAATAGCTAAGTAATTAGGGAAGAAGTAGATTACATCTTCTGAAAGGATTCAGATACCTATAAATCTGGGAAGCATCTAGGATTACACATTTCCTTGCCATCACAATTCACAAATAAATGACAGTTCCTGTGAAATATTTAAGTATATGAAAAACTAGACATACATGTTTTTATCATACATATATTGATAATGTCTGGAAGAGGAAAGACTGTGGTTTCTCTAAGATGTTGCAAGCCAGACATCTGAAATGTGGAAGAAATTTCAACATTCTTGCATCAGAAATGACTAGAATCTTAAACCAGTAAATAAAAAAATGTTGATTTCATTGACTGTTCTTCTGTAAATAAATTGTATTTTGTTACAGTTACTTGCTTAGACAGAGAAGAAGACAACAGACTATGTCAGGACAGTGCTTGTGATGTATCTCATAGATTAAACAAGGTAAAGTAGATGGAGCAATAAAATGGCAACTAACATAATAAGCTAATAATAAGCTTAATAGTAAGTATAATATCAACATAAAATATGAAGTATACTTTAATAAATAAATCAATATAAAAGTTTAAGTGGATATAAATTTAATTAAAAATACAAATTTGGTTAAAATTGTCAATATCCTGTTGCCCTTATGGCTAAGGCAGATCACACTACTGCTCTGTATCAAGTCTGTTAAAGAGTATGAAAAGTAGCAAGACAATCAGGAATCTTTGAACATATGCTGTCTTATAAACACTAAACATGCTGTTTGTAATGGAGTGCCTTTCCATAATTTCAAAGTGATCTTATCAATAATCTGGTAAAATTTTAGCTGCTTGAAGATTTTTTTTTTCCTTCAGAATTTTGTCTCTTCCAGCAGAGAAACAGAAGCCAGTCTTTTGCTTACTAGGTTAACAAATGTTAATTCAGAGGTTCTTAATGGAGAAAGGAAAAAGAGAAAGAGAAGTACAGGAGGAAGATATGCCTTCTGCCACAGGAGGGGAAGGAAGCACCACTCCTATGAAGACAGGCTAAGAAAGTTGGGGTTGGGGTTGTTCAGCCTGGGGAAGAGAAGGCTCCAGAGAGATGCCATAGCAGTCTTCCAGTACCTGAAGGGGCCTACAGGAAAGCTGGGGAGGGACTCTGTGTCAGGGGGTGTAGTGATAGGACAAGGGGGAATGGCTTTAAATTAAAAAAGGGTAGGTTTAGAGTAGATATAAGGAAGAAATTCTTCACTCAAAGGGTGTTGAGACACTGGAACAGGATGCCCAGAGAAACTGGGGATGAATGCCCCATCCCTGGAGGTGCTGAAGACCAGGCCGGTTGTGGCTTTGTGCAACCTGGACTGGTGGGACATGTCCCTGCCCATGGCGAGTGAGTTGGAACTGGGTGATCTTTAAGGGCCCTTCCAACCCAAATCATTCTATGGTAATATGATAAGTAAAGAGAAAGGAGTTGGCAAGAAGGGCCAGGTGTATGTTTGCTGAAGATATCTTGGAGAGGAGAGAAGAGTTGTTAGGAAACTGCTGTGAGGAACCTGTTGGAACATTGGAGATGAACACTGATGCTGTCACACTGAGCCTTTATGGCACTATTTGGCTGCTGCATCTTTGTACTGTCAGTCATTTTCCTGTCTTGTCTCCATATTTAGCTGTTCCCTAACACTCTTCCATAGAAAGCTGACACAGGTTTCATGTCAGAAACATGCTGATGAAGTCCTCTACTATCTATGGATTTAGGGCCTGATAGGTCATGTTTTTAAAGAAATGATGGAGTGGATAAAAGAGCTTTTTTATTTTCCCACATTTTGAAGAAAATTTTGTGGTACATGGGTATATTCACCTACAACCTGGATTAAAGTGCTGTAGGGACATATAAAGGAGAGCTCAAGGCAATCTTGAAGAGTGTTTTTCAGAGGCCTTCTTCTAAGCAAATCCTTCACAGTATGCCCATTATAGGTGCTCCCTCTATTCAGTATAGTGTTGATTTGAACATTGGTCTGAAGCATTTCCCTCTTCCTCCCCATTGTCAAGAAATATGCATGAAAATCATCCTTTGGAATTCCACTGGAGGGGCAAGGGAGGCTAAAATATGCAGTCCTCATTAAGCAGCTTTTTCCACTAGAAAGAAAAAAAATTAATCTGTGGGGAAAGATCATGGTCAAAGCTAATCTTTTTCATGCAGACAAGAAGATCAAAATAAGAGTGTATAAATAAATCTGGTTTTGCCTTTTTTTTTTTTTTTTTTTTTTTTTGTAATCTGTGTGTACTGAACTTTGCAAGCCTATTCAAGCTTTTTTCATTTTTCTGTTTAGCTTTCTATATATATGATTAATACCTGTATACAAATGAATCACTGTCCGGACATAAAGTATTGAGATTTCTTACTCCTAGACTTTGTCAGGTTGCTAATCAGTCTATTTTTTGTTACAGATTTTATATCATTTATTCAGTTTAAATTTCACATTTTTAGTTTAAATACCATGAACTAAAATCTCTGATATTCTAATGTCATGCACCTAATAAGAAAGTAAAAAAAACAATAAAAAAAATCAGAGAAAATAAGGATTTCTTAAAAATACACATTGCTTTTGGCTAGGGAGTTGGAGTAGATGAGACAGAGGAGAGTTCTCTTGTATCCTAATATTTCTGCGATTCTGTGCTGCTGGTTCTGCACTGATTGAAACAAATATTTATGCTATATAGGATCCTATTTGCGCAAATCTTTTTGAGTAACAGCATTATTCTTGTATGATTATGTTTGATTGATTTAATAATCTCTTTATCTAACTTTGTTGCAGGAGATTTATTTATTTATATATTTTTTTTAATTTAAGAGAGATATCTAATATGGTTGGAAAGTATGAAATCTAATTGGACCTAAATAATAGTACCTGTGTAGGAGGGAAAGCTGCAAAACAATTGATGCTGAGCTACAGATGTTTAATACTGGCAAAATTTCCATGGATTAGCTTTAAAAGTTGTATTTATACAATCGTGAAAACTTTCACAGATACTGCATTAATTGATCAAGGTTTATCTAAATTAAAAACAATGTATTCAAGAATATCAGATTATTCTCTTACCATTCCACCTACCTGCTACAAACAAAGTAACATAGTAATATGTCCTTTAAATCCTAAATCATACCCACATTCTTCAGTCTTTATTTCTATTCTTGCCTCTTTGCATCAAAAACTCTGAAAAAAAATATTATTTGTTTCAATTTAGGCAAAATACCTCATAGAGAGATTTTTTAAGCAAGAAGTAGAAGTTAGGAAGAAGACTGCTGAACCGTTGCCTGAAATATACTACATTGAAGGTACTCTGCAAATGGTGTGGATTGATCGCTGCTATCCAGGATATGGAATGAATGCTCTAAGACATCCAGGCTGTCCAGAGTGTTGTGGTAAGTGACAAATTCATTATCACACAAGCATTAAATAGTTACATTGCTTTTTGCTCTGATTGAACAGAATATTTTGCTATGTAAATTTTATAAAATTGTTCTGCCCAACTGTTTTGGGCTGTGATCCTGACAAGTCTGTCAAGGTAGCCAGTATGGGGTCAGGTTGGTACCTGGGTAGAACATTTGTAAAATCTTGTTAATTTAGGCTTTAAGACAGACTCACAGTTTCTGTGGACTGACATAAATTAAAATTAATCAAATTAATTTCACACCTAGATACCAGTGGTCTTTTTCTTTTTTATTTTTTGAGTTAACATAGAAAATCTGCAATCTTATAAGATATGTTTCAAGTACTGCTGTTCAGGTTAGGCAAAGAAGACAATTATGTTTTTCCTTAAATTTATAAAAGCAGGAATCTTAGTTAATGCTTTTATGTAATTACAAACTTAAATGCTCTGTTCCAGATCTGAGATGTGGAGATCTTGGTGAGAATAAAGTGAGAATAAAAGAATAATAAATTAGTAAATATTTGTGATTCATTTGGTATAAAGAAAAGGAAGGATTGATTGAATTCTGTTGATTTTATTCATAGGAGTCCTCAAATTAAAACAAGTGATAAACCTTTATCCTAGATGCTGAGGATCATAGTTCTGAAAAGTGGCTTTGCCAGATTACATTTCCCCTGGCAAAAGGTTATTCATATGATTCCCAGATATTGAGACTGAAGTCTCAAAGCAACATCAGAAGACAGACTTGTAGAGAATAAATCTGTTGTCAAGCTTTTGACAGGAATAATTCCCTCCAGAGCTAAAAATGGTGAAAGAAACACTGGATTACATATCAAAGACAGTTTACAGCATGGACTACACTTTAAAAAGAAATATTAAGAACATGGAAGAAATTAGAAAACAGAAGGAGACAATTCTAAAATTGCAGGATATGGGAAATGCTTCTGTGTGCTATTGTTTTTCTCCAGTTTGTAGTCTCCATGAGAAAGAAAAATGTGTAGTCCATTTCTTCCAGAAAAAAAAAAATAATTATATATATATATATATGGAAGGGCAAGATACAAGATATATATCAATTTTGTACATTTATTGCAATACAAGGTCCTGTTGTACAAGGCATCATTGATTTCAAGGAAAGGTACGCGAGAATCAATTTTAGAAAAGCATATCTTCTTTTTAGGATGATTTGTTATGTACAGACTGCAGTTTTGTTTTGGTCTTTCTAAGTCTATTCTTTCTTTAGTCCTTACTAAACTAATTTATATTTCTTTTCCCTCAAAACGGAATTTTTGTCTTATCTCTGATGGCCATTTAACACTAGCAGTGAAAAATAATAGTGTTTTCCTAGCTGACATCCTTTTTTATACCTCCCTGCACTAGACAGAAATATTACATAGCTCTACACCAATTTTAGCCCAAGAAGCTGATTCCTGTTCAGCTGGGATCATAACAGACGTATCTTTGGCTGATACAGAGGCAAGATTTCACATCTGAGGTATCCAAGAATCTGAAAAAGCCAGTCCTGAAACATGTCTATATACTACTTCCCATAGTTGCAGATGTCAGTCTACCAGCGTGCTCAAACATACATTCTTTTCCTTTGTTGGCCTCTTGGTAAAATTAATCTTTTCCTTTCCCAGAATCCAAAACACCCTATCATAGGCACTATAAATGAAAGGGTCCTCTGCTAGTCTATCAGTCTATCATTCTACCTCAAAGCAAGATACCAGCTTCGATTATTCCTGACAGATGTGTCCTGCATGATCTTGAAAACCTCAGAGGACAGACTTCACAGACTCCAAAGGACATACAACTCAGTACTCAAAATCATCACTACTGGAAAGCTTTTCTCTCAGGAATGTTTGTAATTTCCCTTGATATAGTTTATACCTGCTGCTTCTTGTTATGTCTCAGTGAATCTGGAAACAATTCTGTCAACTCTACCTTTGCAACAGCTTTTGTACATCCTTAGAAGACTGACCGTTTTCTTCTTCTGACACTGTCTTCATTGAACTAAGTTCAGTCTCTCGGGTCATATTTTGGGTCATGTTTTGGATTATGACCTCTACAGGTTCTCTACGTTTCTTTCCTATACCTCAGACTTCATGAGTAGTTTTCCAAAGACATGCTAACATGCTAACCTTACATACATGGCTAGTACTACTCATTGTGACTGGCTCTTTTTTTCAGCAATATGAAATGGATTCATTTGTCGGCTGAATATGAGCCAGCAGTGTGCTCAGGTGGCCAAGAAGGCCAACAGCATCCTGGCTTGTATCAGAATCAGTGTGACCAGCAGGGCTAGGGAGGTGATCGTCCCCCTGTACTCGGCTCTGGTGAGGCCGCACCTTGAGTACTGTGTTCAGTTTTGGGCCCCTCGCTACAAGAAGGACATCGAGGTGCTTGAGCGGGTCCAGAGAAGGGCGGTGAGGGGCCTGGAGAGCAAGTCCTATGAGGAGCGGCTGAAGGAGCTGGGCTTGTTCAGCCTGGAGAAGAGGAGGCTCAGGGGTGACCTTATTGCTCTGTATAAGTACATTAAAGGAGGCTGTAGCGAGGTGGGGGTTGGCCTGTTCTCCCACGTGCCTGGTGACAGGACGAGGGGGAATGGGCTTAAGTTGCGCCAGGGGAGTTTTAGGTTGGATGTTAGGAAGAATTTCTTTACTGAAAGGGTTGTGAGGCACTGGAACAGGCTGCCCAGGGAGGTGGTGGAGTCACCATCCCTGGGAGTCTTCAAAAGACGGTTAGATGTAGAGCTTAGGGATATTGTTTAGTGGGGACTGTTAGTGTTAGGTTAGAGGTTGGACTCGATGATCTTGAGGTCTCTTCCAACCTAGAAATTCTGTGTAAATTCTGTGATTTGCTACAATCCCTAAATCTGTTACCAAAAACAAAAAAAAAAAAAGAGAAAACAAAATATTTTCCTGTTATTTTTCATAGTGGGAGAGCTTTTTCTAAAACATGCATTTACTCATGGAAACATTTTGATAAATGCATTTCCATGAAAAAACAGCAGAGTACAACTTCTTAGGTTATCCAGTAATTTCCTGTGTTGTTGCAGGGACCAGCTCATGTAATTCAGTTAAAACATTTTAAGATCTATTTTAGAACATTTTGGGGGCTTTAATATCTGTTGTTACTCTTGTTTTTTAGTTCAGAAGATTCAGCTTTTAATCTAAATTCATGGAAAGTTTATATTCATTTGCTCTGATGTAGAGACTGCCCTTTAGCTTACTCATTTTTTTTTTTCCTTCCCTTATTTTATAATTGGAACATGGCAACCACTTTCTATCTGCTTTCATAAGAATCTGAATTTGACAAACCATCTTCCATGCCCCGTTTTAAGTTTAATTTTCTTGCACAGGGATGACTAGAATTTAACAGGGTATTTCAGATGAGCTCTTCCTAGTGCCTTTTACATCATCAGTGCTTTTATTTGGTCCAAAGAACTTTTGACAATCTTTTTAGCGAAAAAAATAGTAAAATTTGTCTTAATAGCAAGCTAATGAGTAATCCCTTTACCAGTTCCTCTCCAACTCTTATTTTTCTTTTAAGCATCATTCAATACTCCCTTTTTTTTTTTTAATTTTCATTCAAATCATAGTTTTCTGCAGTTTATTACTACATTATTATTATGTTTAAGTCTGATCAGCTGCTCTATAGTTTCAATGATTCTTTTTCCCTTTTCTGACAATTTTATCATACTTTCTTACTTACCAGTCATAGGTTAGCACCAGTGATATTTTACCACCACAGATACATTGAAAACCTCAGATAATTGTGTTACCCTTTCATATGCTAATTCTATTTTGGAATATGAAAACAGATGTTTCTAGTCTCCTGGTCTCAACATGGATGTGACAGAATTGGAAATGTTACGGCATAGGCTCATGGAGAAATAAAAAAAATAAAAAAAAATAAAAATGTATATCCTCTGTAGGATTCATAAGGAAAAACCTGCTCAAGTTCTGATACATCAAAATAACTGGATTTTAGTTTCACTGTTCTGTAGCCTCTATTATTTTTATAATACCTAATTTCATGTCATGCTTTACTAGTCCTGGTTCCTCCATGTCGTTACGTAGTGCTCTGTGCACAATGCATCATTTATTTTACACCGCCATCATAGAATTTATGCACTAAACATAACCATAACACTTAACTGTATTATCTACCAGTCCAAATCTCCTGTATTAGATCTTGCTTTCACTTTCTTCCCCATGCTTCACTCTAACATTCTTTTATACAACATTATGTCATCATTCATTTTTTTCCCATTTGCTTTTATATTAAAATGACATTAAATCAAGATATTGCTTCACCTTCTATACCATTTTTCTAGTTTAAATCTCATTCTGATTTAGTCAATTAAACATGTTAACCTGATTAGTCACTGGATGATGTATCTATCTCTAGAGAAAACTGTTTGGCAAAACACACTGGTGGTGAAACATATCAAAACCTTGCTCATCAGGTACCAAACAAATGATTTTGTAGAGGCAATGACTTAGAGAGAAATTTCTACTGAATACTAATTCAATTTAGTCTCCTGCCTTTGCAAAAGTGTCTTGAACCGTTTTTCTGCTTTTAAAGCCCTTTTTATATTAAATATTCCACAGTATTCCTGGACAATTTAATTAAATATTTAGTTATCAGATAGATGAGAAAGAAAGTTTATAGGATACAAGAACAAATTAAGATGTTATGGGTTTTTCAGTGTGTGTGAATTGGCAAGTATATAAATTATGCTATAAAGATAAAATATTTTGCTTGGATGTTTATACTTTCAAAGCAATGGTTATACCGATAGGAGTTTTTTGTTGCTGAAAAAGATTGAAAGTATACCAATTAGTTTTCATCAGCTGGCTAAGTAAGTTACAGGCCTCCTTGCTAAGGTTCCTTTCTCCTTTTCATGCTTTTCCCTAGGTAGCAGATTACAGTACTGAGAAATTATAGAAGTAATAGTCATTGTAATAGAATTCCACCTCGCTCCCATTAAACTGAAAATTTTGAAGAATTTACTAGAAGTGTATCTATAATCTTAAATAAAAAGCATATAGTTATTTGTCTGGTACTCAAGCAGAGGAATATGCTTACATGTACTTGTAAAGCTTTCTATTTGCTGTAAAGCCATCTTGGTCTGCCTGTACTCATGTACTAAAGATGCAAGGTGTTGATGTCATCTGCAAAGGAACCTTTCTTGCTTACATTTCATAAGACCTCTAAAGCCCTCTCCAGTCAATAACAGTGGCAAAGAATGCTAGGCAAGATAATAACAGCCCACTGAGGATCAAGTGAATCCTGCCAGACTCAACAAACGAAGGTAAACCAAATACTGAAAATCCTGCTGAAGGTTTGTGCATTAGTGACTAAGAATTCATTATTAAGCCAGGCAAAACCAAATACCCAGGTAAACACAGACTCTGCAAAAGGAAGGAAGGTCTTAAATACCTTTGCATACTGAATACTAATGCTGTTCATTTAAGATCTTTCCTGAAGAAAGGCTAACATTGCCAAATTGACCTATGATTCAAGATAGTTGCAGCCAAATAGCTCAAATTCTGCTTTTATCAGCTAGCAGAATGCTGGTGAAAAATATTTTTTTCAAATAGATAAAGATACATCTTAAACATTTCAGATGTAAACAATTTTGTATTAATGCCATTTAAATTCCTTCTTTTTTTTTTTTTTTTGTGTCCGTATAGTTATCTGCAGCCCAGGATCATACAATCCTAGTAATGGAATTCACTGTCTTCACTGCGACAAAAGTTTGAAATATGGAGCAACAAAGTGCTAGTGGTTGAGGGATTGGCAGTGTTGCAATAGCTCTTATGTATTTTAATGTGGTAATATTAATAAATATTTTTACATGTGTACAGTTTGTTTTGGTTACATCAATAGGATACACTTGTTTTTAGGAAATAATGATTAATCTGCACGTTGTTAAAATATTTTTGGTCATATCACTTAGGTCTACTTCGTTTTAAGGTCTTTGTAATTATCTACTAGGTTAATACCAGTAAAGATGATTAACTATTTAAATCACAAGAGGAAAATATAAAAGGTAGAGCTATTTTTTTGTGGTTAGTGCTCTGCTGGTAGGCCTCATCTCCTTTTGACAGAGCCTAGCATAAGATTTCTGTGCTGTAGCTTTGTCTGCCAGTTCATTCAGTCTGGATAGGAGGATTGCAGCAAACAGCTCAGGGTGTACATTCACACTCTGAGGTCAGGAAAGTTGTGGTGTAGCCCCAAGTGCAAAAATATCCCCCAGACTTTGTTTCCATCTGATGTATAATGCTAGTAGTGACCTCTTAGTAACTTCACCACAAAGAAAATAAATTTTTACTTAGGTCATTCATCTGTTCTGCCTTTAAGGGCACCACTCTGAGCGTAACACTTTTGCTCTGACCTGAAGAAAACAAACAGCTATGTAAAATACCACGATGCTTTTTATGACACTCATTACTTTTACATGACTGTCAAGAATTAGTAAGTGGTTTACTCAATGTGTTTCTTGTCATTGTCATTCATTAGTAGCTTCATTTAAATTGGTATTCCATAACAGAACTGTTAAAAATCCCATTTATACCTGTTTCCCTTTATGTCTGGCAATGAGCTAGATCTGTAGGTCATTTTTAGCTCTTTGTCATCTAAAAATGGGATTTGCAGGCATTTTTGTTTTCAAGAACAAGTATGAACTACAGGTTTAAATATGTACATCTTCAGGTATTGTAGTCTCAAAAAAGGACTAAAAAAGTTCCATGCTACTTTTAAGAAATAATTTTTAAATACAGCATATCATGTAAAGATGCTAAAAAGATATAAAGATATTGAAGATGTAAAGCATCCCACTAATAAACTGTTTACGTGACAGAGTGTGAAGCTCCACGTATATTTTGATGTGGACGTGAAAAATGAAACCAACACATTTAAAGTAACTAGTATGACTATGATTTGCTTTTCCAGTTTGAGTGAACTACAGTAAATTTTATATAAAACAGACACAACTAAGGCATTTGGAAAATGGAAAAAAAAAAACATTAATAGGATTCTACAGTGACACTTTAATGCTTAAACATTAGTATAAACAGCATAACTAGCAGAATATATAAAATAGCTATTTTTATCAAATGCCATTTGAAAACAAATAGCTGGGAAAGAGCACGTTTAAAAAACAGCAGTTAGTTAGGAAATTAAACTCTATTTAACTGTAATCCACAGAATGACTAAAGGCCACCCATTCCTTATTTTCATTTGGTAATTAGAAATAAACAGACCACAAATGGGAAGGGTCGTTACATTAGGTTGAAGCACTGCACATCCATCCGTATGTTATCTCCATAATTTCCCAATCATGACAGCACTAAATTAGTTAGCATTAGTTTGAATTACTAATGGCTAGAGAGAAAGCATGTTATGCAGTATTGTCTTTGCAAAAATATGGACTTTGTTTTCACAAAAAAAAGCCCACAACATAACAAGTAATAAAAGCACATGGAGCTCCCTACAGCATGGGCAGCAAATTAATTTGAGAACTACCTTCTCAAATGAATGCTGCTTTTTTAAGGCAATAGAAATATAAATTAAGCAGCATTTTGACATTTTTATATATTTACCTTTCTATTGCACATCAGAAACAGAAAGCTCTGGTTGGCTTTCCAGCAATCTCCAACCATTCCAACAAGTAAAGATATTCATAGAATTGTATCTGTACTTTGAGGGAGAATAACAAAAATGATGTGCTTTTTAATCGGGGCAATATATAGACTAAATTTGACTTTTTTCACTAAGCATACATTTATGCATTTTAGCAGAGCACAGAAACGATATCTTTTGGTCCTCCCTATAAGTGATATTCAATTTAATTTCCAAAGTTCACACACCCTTTATGACTTGCTGGAAAAAAAGTAAAGTAAGTGGTGATATGGGTTTGACTTTAGCTCTGCCTGTTATGAAGAAAAGCACTTGAAATGATCTTTATGAAAGTTCTCTCTCATTCAATGGTTGCAGTCAAGTTCAGATGCTTTATTATACCTGTATTCTGTGGAACAAACCCTGATCTCAGTTAACAGTATTGACCCAGACGTCTAAATTACTCTTGATTTATGCTGTCTTAAGAAAAGAATTTTCATTTGCCAATGTATACATGCTGTATATATACAAATATACATCTCTCATCGCTAAAATATTTTAAGTTTACTCTCATGTATGGTTGGGGACAGAAAAAAGAAATTTCTTTGCATATAAAGCCATGAAAAAAAAGTTGTACTTGTTTTTCTATTCTCAGAATTATTGAATGTAAAACCTACTTTCATTTCATCATATTACATCTGCTATATGTTTGCTGTGTTTCCATATTGTCTACGAACTGATATATGTATTCCTATTTTCAAATCTTTCCATTAATTCACATCTTTCCAACAAGGTAAAATCTGTGCATGCAGAAATACTTGGCACACTCCACTTTTCAAGATGTTCCTGCAGTTTGTACAAAATCTGCAGCAGTGCTCTATAATTTGCTGAAACTGGGGTGCTTACTGTTATACGTGGTATTTTTCCCCTTTTGCAAAAGAAACATGAAGTAGGCTATCATCCTGAGCTCTAAATTGACAAGAAGATTACTGACCCCATATAAGCTGCAAACTTAACGTTTACCATGGATACATTGTGGACATTTACTAACTTGCTATTCCATTACTATATTCTGCCTATTCTTTTCAACAATAGCTTTTTTATGCAATGTATTTATTAATAATAAAGGTCTTTTTAAAAGCAGAAAACTTATGCATTACAAAAATAGCATTGCTATTAGCTAATAACATGAAAATAACCTGATATGAATATAACAGCATTTCTGGTAAGTTGTCAGTTGATTGTTTTTAAACAGTAGCTTTTGTGGTGCTAATTATGTAAATGTTATTCTATTACTGATTAATTAATAAAATTTTTTGACTTCTCTGTAACTGATAAATGACATGCATGTTTGGAGTTTTCCTCTACATATTTTTAAAAGCATATAAAATGAATGAGTCATAAAATATACAAGCGATTGGAAAGATATAGTAGGTTGTATTGATTTTTTTCTCTGTTTTGATTCTTGAGAGAAAGTGGGGCTCTGAGGAGTGGCTGCCTTCTAAAAACTGAACAAATTCAAAAAGTGATGAATAATTTGAATTCTTGGATAGCCAGGAAAGTAAATGGAGCCAAGTCCAGTTGGAGGCCAGTCACTAGTGGCGTCCCCCAGGGCTCGGTGCTGGGGCCGGTCCTCTTTAACATCTTCATCAATGATCTGGATGAGGGCATTGAGTGCACCCTCAGTAAGTTTGCAGATGACACCAAGCTAGGTGCGTGTGTCGATCTGCTTGAGGGTAGGAAGGCTCTGCAGGAGGATCTGGATAGGCTGCACCGATGGGCTGAGGTCAACTGCATGAAGTTTAACAAGGCCAAGTGCCGGGTCCTGCACCTGGGGCGCAATAACCCCAAGAAGAGCTACAGGCTGGGAGACGAATGGCTGGAGAGCTGCCAGGCAGAGAAGGACCTGGGAGTGATGGTGGACAGTCGGCTGAATATGAGCCAGCAGTGTGCTCAGGTGGCCAAGAAGGCCAACGGCATCCTGGCTTGTATCAGAAACACTGTGACCAGCAGGGCTAGGGAGGTGATCGTCCCCCTGTACTCGGCTCTGGTGAGGCCGCACCTCGAGTACTGTGTTCAGTTCTGGGCCCCTCGCTACAAGAAGGACATCGAGGTGCTTGAGCGGGTCCAGAGAAGGGCGACGAAGCTGGTGAGGGGCCTGGAGAGCAAGTCCTATGAGGAGCGGCTGAAGGAGCTGGGCTTGTTCAGCCTAGAGAAAAGGAGGCTCAGGGGTGACCTTATCACTCTGTATAAGTATATTAAAGGAGGCTCTAGCGAGATGGGGGTTGGCCTGTTCTCCCATGTGCCTGGTGACAGGACGAGGGGGAATGGGCTAAAGTTGCGCCAGGGGAGTTTTAGGTTAGATGTTAGGAAGAATTTCTTTACTGAAAGGGTTGTTAGACATTGGAACAGGCTGCCCAGGGAGGTGGTTGAGTCACCATCCCTGGAAGTCTTCAAAAGACGTTTAGATGTAGAACTTAGGGATATGGTTTAGTGGGGACTGTTAGTGTTAGGTCAGAGGTTGGACTCGATGATCTTGAGGTCTCTTCCAACCTAGAGATTCTGTGTGTGTGATTCTGTGTGATAACATAGTCTGTGATATTTAGTTCAATGCTTTCTCCCCAGTTTGTATTTTGTTTCTAAATGCAGCAGAAAAACAGGGCAGAATGTGCATTTTTGTAGACAGAAATCCTGTGGTAATGTAGGCTGTAAAAAAAAAAATCATTGGCTGATAAGGGAAATAAATGGGGTGTTCAGTTGGATTGTATTAGATCATTAAATAATATGTGTCTTTCAGAGCCTCCTATGTATTATGGAGCTATCATAGTTTAGATACAAAAGTTACTATAAAAAGTAATACCAAATACTTTGCAAATCTTGACAGTACATTTTAGCCCTGGAGTGTGTCCAGAGAAGAGCTACGAAGCTGGTGAAGGGCCTGGAACACAAGTCCTATGAGAAACGGCTGAGGGAACTGGGGGTGTTTAGGCTGGAGAAGAGGAGGCTCAGGGCAGACCTTATTGCTCTCTACAACTGCCTGAAAGGTGTGGGGAGCTGGGGGTTGGCCTCTTCTCACAGGTAACTAGCGATAGGACTAGAGGAAATGGCCTCAAGCTGTGCCAGGGGATGGTTAGTTTGGAAATTAGGAGACATTTCTTCTCAGAAAGAGCCATCAGGCATTGGAACAGGTTGTCCAGGGAGGTGGTGGAGTCACTGTCCCTGGGGGTGTTCAAGGAAAGGTTGGATGTGGTGCTTAGGGACATGGCTTAGTGGGTGACAGTGGTGGTAGCATGATAGTTGGACCAGATGATCTTGGAGGTCTTCTCCAACCTTAATGATTCTATGATCCTATTATGCCATATGTGAACAGAAGAGATAGTTTTCCAAGGTGGAAGAACCTTTTATCATACTTTTTTTTTTTTTTTTTTTTTTTTCGTATTAAAGAGCTAAATTAAATTTCATTGTAATCTGACTTTCAATTTTGCACCTCTGGAGATCACCTACTCCAATTCTTTTCTCAGTGAAGGCCCGGCTACGGCAGGCTGCTCAGGGCTGCGTCCACTTGGGTTTTGAACATCGTCACAGATGGAGACTCCACAACCTATCTGTGCAACATCTTCCAGTATCAGGCTCATTTATAATAAAATTTTCTTTCTCATTTCCAAATGGAATTTCCTATATGTCAATTTATACCCAACTACATTTCTTATTTACTTTCCTTAAGATATGCTTTGAAAATCTCCCTGTAAAACACCTTTATGACATTGTAGTTAGGTTTTTCCCTCTTTTACATTCCCACTGTCATGTTCAGTTTCTCTGTTTCATATCTCACATCTTTTCGCATTTTCCCTTTAAAATCTTGCATAAATTTTTCAGTGATTACCTGCACTATCTTTTTGTGGTTTAAATGAGTAGCGTAAATACTACTGTTGCACACTACCTGTAATTTTATAATTACTTGAAACCATCTAGAATATCATCTCTTCAGGCACCTACTTACACGTTTGAAGCCAAATTCATGTCTAGTGCAGTTCTACAAAAATGGACAGAGCCAAAAAAAAAATACTTTGGCAAGATTTCAACTGGGAAATAAGCAGAAGCAAGTGAAGTGGAAGCAGAAATCTCATACTCATGCCAATGCAGCTACATAAGTACATCTGAGAAGAATATTCATTTTTCAGGCAACAGACCTTCAAATACAAAATTATTCATGAGCTATCAGTGTGTCCTGGAATTCAGCTTTTATGGACACAACCACCTGCAAAGTGGAAAAATTCAGATACATAATCCTTGTATGTTTGCACTGAAACAAAAAATGTCTGAGTTCCTGTGCTTCAGGTGTGCCTCCTTTTGGACAATATTTATGGACAAAAGTTAGCTTTATTTTGTAACAACTATTTATTTATAACTGAGCTTTTTACTTCACTAACATGCACCTTACTTGCTTAACTTTATAAATAAATATAAAATTTCCAATAATTATTTTCATTTTGATTTTTTTTTTTTATTTCACTGTGCTGTCAGAGGAATGTCTCAGCAGGTCTGCCAGTGTTGCCTTCAGTTTGGTTCACTGGAAACATGGTTATGGGGTCTGCCTGGGATGGAGTTACCCTTCATAGTAGCTTGTTTGGTGCTGTGACTAAAACAATGCTGGTGTGTTACACTGTTTTACACTGTGTGTTAGCTGCTGCTGAAGAGATCTTGCAGAGTGTCAGGGCCTGCTCTGTTTCTCACTCTGCTTCCCCACTGAATAAGATCGGGAGCATGCAAGAGTTTGCGAGGGGTTGCAGCCAGGCAGGTACCCAAACTAACCAAAGAGATATTCCATGCCATACAACACCGCACTGGCAATGAGATGGGGAGGAGCAAGGTTTAAACAGGTTTTGTTCAGGAGCTGGCTGGGCATCAGTCTGCCTCTGGGAGGTGGTGAGTGATTGCCTTTGCATCACTTGCTTTGCTTTCTGTCTTTTTTTCTTCTACTTCTCCTTCACTTATTAAATTACTTTGATCTTGCCCTATGACATGTCTTGTTTTTGCTCTTCTCTTCCTCTTCCCCTGTCCCACTGGGGGCAGTGGGTGGGTGACTGTGCGGTGCTTATCTGCCTGATGGGGTGAACCGCAGCATGGAGCGGGTTACACACTGAGCTTACAGTATGCAAACTCTGGTTCCAAATTTGGGTG